ATCTCTTAATTCCCAAATTGCCCATCATATCTAATCTTTCTGGGTTTTGTTTGAGGGCAGTGTTGTGCTTACGAAGAGAAAGTAAGGTTCTTTTCAGCGCTGAAAGGAGGAGGTGGTCAGAGGTTTATCGTGGGGGAGATCCAGGGGGTAAGGAGTGGGTCTCCGGGTTCAGGTTTGTTGCGGAGGAAGAGCCACGTCGGGCAACTGGAGGTATTGATTTTGAGATTGGGGAGATTGAACCCGGTGACGGCTTTGTCGCCGTTGATGGAAGTTAATCAGTCTAACCCAATCACAATAAATTACAGATTAATTAATCAAATATACTTATATAATGTATAGTCTGCTTGTGTATTAAAAATAAACACTACCAAACTAGCAGTTATTCATAGTGTGTGATGCTTCCTTGCCACCGACTTCCCTCATGCTTGAAACCGGTTGGGTCTTGATGCGCCGGTTATGGGTCTCTGTCACTTTTAGATTTCGGTCTCAGATGAAGAGAGAGAGGGCGCAATCAATTGAATGGGTAGTAAGGTAATTTCGCAACAGGGTAGTTTAGGAATTAAATAAAATTCTACACTAACTTTTCATGTCTAAGACAGCATTTGTAAAATTTCTATTAATTTGGAAAATTAGAGTTTGACTCCACTTTTTTTACATTTGGCCCCTCAAAACATTATTTTTATAGAATTATCTTTTTAATTTATCCTATATTATATAAAAATTCCAAAATACGCTTATTAATCAGTGATTATGAAATTAGATTATTTTTTTTCCTTAAATGCATTTTAGGCATTTCAATTTTTAAATTAACAAAATATCTTTATTAGTTCAAAATTTAAAAATGTAAGGAGTTTATACACAAATTCTGTATAATATAATAAGTTTTGTTTTGTTTTGTTTTGTGCTCTTTTTTTTTTTTTTTTTTTTTAATACACTTTACGTCTTTACCCTAATAACATTAAACTATTGGATTCGTTTGAGATTTGTCGCATTATGACGTTGGTGTCATGTTATTTCTGTACTGTTTGTATTTATATTCATAATTCTATATTTGTCCCTTATATTCATGTGTGTGTCGTCATGCAGTTATAACGTCAAGGATGAACACAACAGCAAATTGGGCACAAGTTGCTGACAAGTTGAATCCATGAGGGTAACCCTTCAATGTTTGGATGTAGACTTTTGGTAATATCATTACTCATCAGATCTAAACGATCATTAAAAGATAACATGAATATATATATATTCATGTTATCTTTTAATGAGATCATGTTCAAACCAGTCATGGTCAACATTGCAACCAACACGCCTTTTATGCAATAATCGAGGTTCTGTTGAGGACTATGCCCTACAACTGTGACCTTATTATGTTATACAATTGTATCGACGTCGAGAGATATTTCGGTTCAACACTGGTGTAATATATTTCATTTAAAAATACTATATTTTGCAGCAAATTACATCGATATAATTTGCTGCAAATTTATTTGGTCCATTTATATATATTATATATGGCAAAATTGTATTCATGGTTTATAAAATATTTTGTTTATAAATGACTAAGAGCATTGTGTCCTATTGGTATCTCTTCTCTATCTTTTAAAGTGGATGGTGAATGTTCGAGTCCTCAAAAGAGCAACGCAAGTGTAAGTAGTTGGTCCCCTAAACATAAATTTCTGACTTTGTTCATGATTAATATTGTATTTTAACTCGTTTGGAAAGTTGGGCTAAGGAGTACTTGCCTTACATCGGATTTGTATGGGAAGTAAAATGAATATAAATGAGTGGGTATGTAGTATTACCTAATAACTTAAACTTTTAGATAAATGGGCAAACGCTCACCCATTACAGTTGGTATAAGAGTCAGACCAGTCATTGACCCGGTGTCACGCCAATGTCCGAGTGAGCCCACCCGAATAAGCAGGGTGGCTCGACCACAACGAGGGCGTTGCAAGTTCCGGTGAGGGAAAATATTATAAGGGATACTTGTCCCATATCGGACCCGAATGAAAAGTGAAATGAGCAGGGGCGGAGCTAGAAATTTGAGGTCGGGGGGGCCGGGTTTGTACTATGTAATTAAAAGAGTCCAAGTTGAAAGAATTACTAAATTTCAAAAAAAATACAAACTAAATTTATTTTAATATATAAGTGTTTTGAAAAAAATAGGGGACTAATTGAAAATTTTAATAAATTTTAGAGGCAAAACCTACAAAGTAATTTATATTTAGGGGTATAAATAAAATTTTTAAGAAAGTTTGGAGAACCATGGCCATTGCTGGCTTACTCCTAAAAATAAGTATAAATGAGTGGATATACAATATTACTTGATAATTTAAGTTATTGTTGTTTATTATTATTATTATTATTATTATTATTATTTTCTGTAAATAAACAAGCCCAATGTAATCATATTACATTCTTGTTGTAAATGTACACCATTACACCAAAATTCTGATATGTATAAAATTATGTACCCATGGTCTCAATTGCAATTTGCAAACAGGTGATAAGGGCTTGTGTGCGCCTCATCCCTACAGAACTGAGAGAGAGAGAGAATCAGATTCGATGGTTCCACCGCCCATAAAGTGGCGTGGGTCCCACAATAGAGGGACACCCCTACAATTATATTGGCATGACATCCGAATTGCGGATGAGCACCACCCAAAGAGCATTTTATGTTCTCTTTTAGACCAGCATCACATAATAAGAAGATCGAAGATAAGGTTTAAGAAGTCAAGAAAATATCTTCTCTAATCCTGCCAAAAGAGAAAAAAAAAAATATAAATAAAATAAATGGGATAAGAACGATCCTACTAGAGATCACAAATGTTGAATTCCCTTTTATTCTTATGATTTTGTTTTGTTCAAACACTTTTTTGTTTTGTTTTATTCTCATGTGTACTGGAACCCTTCTATTCTCTTCAAATGTTGAATTCCCTTTTATTCTTATGATTTTGTTTTGTTCAAACACTTTTTTGTTTTGTTTTATTCTCATGTGTACTGGAACCCTTCTATTCTCTTCGAAGATATAAATATTATGTCATTGGTTAGATGCTCTTTGATCTTGTTAGTAATAACAAGTGTGAAACAAAAAAAAATAATAATAACAAAGTGTATCAAATCATGTGACATTTTAAAATTTGGTTCGTCCGACTTAAAAAGGACACACAGAAAATATAACAATTTTAGTCATAATAATCATTCAGGGTTCAAAAGTCAACAACTCTGACCCACTGATTTAAGCTAGAAGTGTTGGCCCAACCCAAGTCTAGATAATCAGGCCTGCACTTCAAATGGCTGAAGGTTTTTCTAACTGGGCTTCACCGGGCCTACAATCTGTAAGGAATTTCTAATTGGGCTCTTAATGGTAATTGAATACTGTGAGTGCTTGGAATAAGATGAAGAATTGAATAAAATTAGGTCCCCAAAATATTGGCAATAAAAGCCCAATCCAAATGAAGTAACAGATCTTCAAGACATGAATCCAAGATCACACACATAGCCAATAAATATGGGGCCTCTTGTAGCCAAAAACTTATTCTGGTGAGAGTCAAACTTAGCTTGTAGTCAAAATTGAAAGAAGATTGTCATTTCACCCCAATAATTCTGGATCCCTTAGTGTTAAATCAAGCACTCTTTAAATTTTTTTAAATTTATTTATTTATTTATTTAAAGGAAGTGTAAAATATGTAATGGTGATATTAATATTATAGTAGTAAATTTACTTGGTTCATAGCATCAACTCATAAAGTACTAATTTTCATCGATTTATGATACATCATCCAAAATTACTGTGCCGAATAGAAGAGCCGATTTTGCTCTTCTGACCGATGAACACATCCCACAAAGAAGTTTTTGCTCTTTACTAAAAACTCCTTTGTGACGAAGAGCAATGAAACTGAACTATACTTCTTTTTTTGGACTGTTCAGAGTTCAATTTTTTCTTTAGTGGATTGATTAACTCTGTGAATCAGATATTTGTAATAGAACTAGTCTATTTGTCCAGACAAATATTTGGAAAGGTAAAGAAGACCGCAATCAAATAGTGTCACTATTCAAACTAATTAAGCATGTAATTTTCAGTTGAGACTTGAGATGACATAATAAATTTCTCATCCAAACAGTTCCCCAATATTTTTCTACAGAGGCAGAGTATCATTACTACTTCTCAGTCATTAAGAGATCAAAGCTAAAAGATAATTAAGATACCCTAACCCCATCTTCTCTCAAGTATTGTATTGTTCTTTCTATTCCTGTCGACATCACTCAATCATGTAAAATTCCAAGAGGAAAATTATTTAGGGTCTGAGAGTTGGACAACTCCGACTATTTTGATGTGAGTGGACCCCAACTCACATCAATGCAGTCTTGATTGTTGAACTCCATATCACGACTCTTTCCAAAATAGTTCATCAATTAAATTTGGCCATAGCACAGTTGCATCAACGAGCAGTTCTTGATACCTAACTTCAAATGAATATCTATCTGAATATGAAACTTTAGTACGTGTGTGTGGCTAGCACTTGTATGCTGTTTTTGGATGAATATATTAAGAGCATAAAGCACACTATTTTGGTTTGAATATTCATATAACTGTGATTTGTATTTGTGTCACTTGAAAGAAAAGAATGTAATTCATGTTTGAAGTCTGAAACAAACAAGGAATAGTGGAAGAAATAGGAAAGAATTTCACTACATTTCCAAGAAACTAAAGTAAACGAATACAAACGGATGAAACCTTTCTGGTTTAAAACAAAAAATTGAGGAATTCAAATATATAATTTTTTTGTTTAGTTTTCCAGAGCCAAAACCATCTAATTCATTGTACCTTCCTCTTGATCATGACACAATGCAGAGATAATGGTGGCTCGTTGAGTGCCTTCCGCGGCCATCCTCTAATATACACATATATATATCTCTATAGCAAAACCTCTTTAAAAACAATGCAGAAAAGCCAATAGATAAAAGACCCTTAAAAGGAGCATTAGAATCCACCATCTTCAAGACCTATTGTGGATGGGATCCGATCCTTTTCGAACCTTTCTTTTGCTGGATTGATTTGGATCAACTGTCGCGTTTACTGGTGCCGGTTTCTTCTCTGTATGCAGGTCCTCCATGGCAGCCGCCTTGAGTATACGATGATTCTTCGTCGCTAGCCCGTGATGATCAATCCATCTTAGGACATGGTCTACACTTCTCAGGCCAGAAATTTTATCTGGTTGAACTGCTATGACTCCAATGCAGATGAAAATGACAAACATTCTATGAGCACTGAAAACCATGGTTGTTAAGCAAAAAACTAGAAATAGAAGTGTGTTAAAGAATAATTGTTGTAGTCTAATGACCCATCCCTGTAGATACAAGCCTGTGATTTATTTCTCTTATATATGGGACTTGGAGGGAGCTTTAAAGGGTAAAGCAATGTTGGAGGAGGGGCCCTAAATTACCAAGAGGGAATTTGGATTCTTCCCAATCATAAGCCTCAAAATAAAGGGTGTTGTTATAGGAGAATCTGACTGGGACAAAAATAAAGGTGTGTGTTGGAACAACACCCTTGAGAAGCTGAGCATCTTTTTCCATATGTTTTTCCCAGTTGGCCTGCTTTTGTCTACAATACAAAGACCAAGCCAGTCCCTTGGAATCCTAGCCATCTTTGCCATGTCACCCGACGGTGCTTACGTGTACAAGTTTTTGTACATATACACGTGGATCACGATCCTCTCCTATGCAATTTTTGTCCTGTGTCATCTAATGCATTTAAATCGACAATGGAACAACTTTATATTGACAATGCAAACTACGTAAATATGTTGAATTCTTGATTTAATTGTGTCGCAACATTTCAACACGATGTAATATGTTACATGGGTGTTGCACTGTTGATTTAATAGTGCACATGATGGGTGAGGAATATGAGAGGATTCGTATATGCTAGTCTACTGCCAAGGGTATCTTGGTAAATTTGTATATATACAGGTGGCTCACGATCCTCTCCTGTGCCGTTTCTGATTCTCTATCATTCAGTGCATTTAAATCAACAATACAACTACTTTAAATTGATAAACGTAAAGGTGTTGAATTCTTGATTTAATGGTGTTACAGCTTTGCAACACAATGTAATATGTTACATAGGTGCTGCAGGGTTGATTTAGTAGTGCATAGGACAAACACACGACAGGTGAGGAATAGGAGAGGAATCATATATGTTAGTCTATTGCCAGGGGTATCTTGGTAAATTTGTATTCCTTAGATGTTAAGGAAAGGAAACCTTTGAGCAAGACTCATGAGGGTGCCAAAACTAATACTAGATTAGTAGAGGAGGAGGCATTATTTTTCATATAGAAAGAATGGAGTGGAAAAGAATGAGGAGGAATAGAAGAGCCCCCTAAAAAAAACCAAACACTTGCTTTATGATGTTTGAAGATCTGACTTTAGAATTCCAAGCTCTCTTCTCTATGCCAACAAAAATGACAGTCTTGGTTCCTTGTGCTAAATGTGTTTCTTTATGCTTTTCTTTTGCTTGCCATTCTCTAATTCCCCCATTCAATGTTTCAAAGAAGACCAACTTCAAACTCTCTCTCTCTCACACACAAACACACACACAAACACAATTTGTAATTGTTTTTCTCCTTTATCCATATAGTATGTAGACCATCTTTTCCTTTATTTAATTCTTTATTATTATTATTATTATCATTGTTATTGTTATATCCAAAATGAGGTACAAGTTGGAACATTCCAAAGCATAGATTCTTATGCTTTATCAAAATTGCATGATGGGATTCCAAGGCCTCTTATGATGAACAATGACTGGTCATGGTCCAAGCAATACAAACCTCTTTCTCATATTGTGTTATCATACTAAACTGATTCTCTGCCCTTTTTTATTCTTTGATCAAAGCAATAAGAGTGATTGAGTTGTTACTTTCTATTTGATATGTGATCCTATATTGCAGCCTTTTCATTCATCACCGGGTTAATGTTGTAAAATTAATGGCTAATTTCTCGTGTTTTTTTAATAAAAAAAAAATCAACCCACTACACGAGATTTGTGTTATTGCGGTGTCTGAGAGGATTAGAGGTACACAATTTTATCAATAGAGAGACTGTTTCCTATTTCGAACCAAAATTTGTTCAATTGTAATCCTACATGCCAATGCCAGAAATGGAAATAGAGTGTTGGATGAAGCCTTTTGCTTTAATTTGAGGTACGGGTACGTACCATTTAATGGTTAATGTACTTGTAACATACTCTTGCGTTCCATTAAAGTTATCTATTATTGGAATCTCAAGGAGTTAGTATGATCCTTGCCCCTCTTTGAAAGAAAAAAAAGTGAAGATACAAGTGATTTAAAGATTTAAAGTATATATATGCATATACAATGTAGTAGCTTTGTAGATTCTCTAGGGTGGTATTAAGATAGTGGCTTTTTAGAACTTTTGTTTGGAAACTGTGGGCTCTATTTCAGTTGATGGATACTAAGCCGGACAATGAAAAAGAAAAAGAGAAAATCAAAGCTTATTTGGTTTAATTTTTGTATGTCGTCACACATCATTTCTCTATCTTTGAATGATTCTCCAAATCAATTCTCTCTTAAAACCTTATTTAGGTGTCTAGGAAGTATGGATATGAACATGAGACACAGGTATGGCATGATGCCGACGCGGCGTTATGGCAAATCTCAAAAGAATAGGACATAAAAACAGTATAGATACGTTAAAAAATGCAACAACATTATATAATTATGAATGAAATCACTAATTTGGAACTTAAACCCACATGTTTGTTATTTTTGTTTTTCTAAATTTTATTTTATTTTATTAATTAACCCATAAAAGATTTTAAAGTTTCTCTAAAAAGAAAATTTATAAAATCACTCCGCTGTGTCTTGAGAGTGTGCCAAAAATGTGTCATTGTTGTGTCCATGTCATGTTATTGCGGTGTCTAACTAAAAAACAAACTATTCAAATTTCAGGACATACGTGTCCGGAGTGTGTCAAAGTGTCTGATACTGTCTCGGCACCCCAAGTGAATGAATATATCGCAGCGCATGCAAAATATGATGACTGTTAAACTTGAACTGAGGAGAGTAAGTTTCCTGATGAATCTGATGCTTATTAGGACATATGTGCTAAAGCATAGCCTACAATCAGAATGTCACCAAAACACAATTTAAAAGAAGATGCTTGTTCTACTTTAAGATTGTTCTGTCCATATCATACTCATAAAAAATGATTACAAAAGGGAGGGAAAAAAATCATTACCATGAGTATGAGGAGAATATATGCTTGTTACTTTATTGGCTCATGCAGTGAAATTTAAAATACGGGAGAAGAAACTATGGTCATCAACAAGAAAACCATGATGCTGTTAACGCATTTGATTTTCAGGGCAATTAAAAAATTTTACAAAGTTATGACAAGGCAAACTTTTACTGAGAAGCTAAAGTTTTACTATGTTGTGTTAAAATTATTAACACATTCCCTACAAATTTTAACCCTTCAAATTTCAACAAGCTGAGCAAAATTGGTGTCACGTATAGGTTGCTTGAAAATGATCGATCAGAGTTGGCGTCAAGAATCCAAACTCAACTTGCTTGAATCCTGAATCAAGCCAAACTCGGATTGTTATGAATAACTCACAGATTTGAAAATATCGATTTAGTCTTCCTAAACACCTAGATCAACTTATGGCATGTTTGCCTACTCCCTTTTGACAAAGGATATTGATCTATGGCCTTTCACTGGCAAATTTTATACTGTCCACACCACTAACATCACAAATTGGACACGTAAAAATGCGCATACTATAAAAGGATACGAAATACAGCTGATGTGGATGTGCATGTCTAACAAGAGAACATATTCTGAGATGCAACACTTATATACACATTAACATAGAGCAAGAGAATGGATATCCATGGTCTTTTTAAACACGCAAGTGCGATAATCACTAAACAACCTCATCAAATGGCTTTCAGAGCAACTGTGTTCGCAGTTGTCCATGTAAATTAAGCAGTTCCTTGGTGGGGTGTCACCGTCGGTGTAGATGCAATGGCAAACTGCAGACCCCTGTTTTGCCCTGATTGTAGCACAAATGCAAATTGTGTTGCTGCCAATGCTGCAGCCTCCTGTTCATCAAATTGCAACACAGTTTACAAAAAAAAATTCCCACTAACATTCAACTGTATGTTTTGTATGTGCATTGGTGTAACAGTCCCAAATTCCAAATATAGGATATCTAAATCGCAACACACAATTTACAAACAAAAAAAAAATTCCCACTAATATTCAACTGTATGTTTTGTACGTGCATCGTTGTAACAGTTCCAAATTCCAAATATAGGAAATCTATATCCACGTAACCATCATACAGGGTGAGAGATCATTAGTTTCACCATTCAGAGTATGTAATATCCATGATTTTATATATCTGTATAGAACTAAGGTATCATATATGTGTGTGTGTGTGTGTGTGTGTGTGTGTGTAGATGAGCAGATAAAGTGTTTCAAAATTTTCAAATTTAATTTTAGATATGAATAGAAGAATAAAATTTTAAATTTTGAAGTGGGGGAAATGATCAATGGAACGTAGTTCATATAACAAACAATGTTCACACGATTCTCTCTAACTAAAAGAAGGAGAAATTGAAAAGGAGATTACTGCCAGAGAGAGATTATTTTGGAAAATTAACAGGCAAGTAAAACTCTACTGTATTTTGATTTTGATTGTATAACTATTTAGGCTAAAAAAGTCATGGAATTAATCTGATTTACCATGTGAATTTATGAAGTTAAATGGTATTATGATTAACATGTAACATGTATTTATGAGCCTATCCATATGTAGATGCATATATAAATATAAATATATAAATAGTAACATTCATATCTCTTGCAGTGTGGAAGCAGCAAGTGATTGAATAATTGATAGTTGGCATCATTAGTGTATAGATGCTAAGTATGTATGACAGCTATGACATACCAATGAGCTTGCAAAATTGCTTGCCTTATTGTTATGGCATGCTAAGATGGACAATTAAACCAGTATGCTCAAATGTAATCGAACAGCCTCATGTATGCATGGGTATGTCATAGCAGTTGTATATATATTTTCACCTACATAGATAGGCTCATAAATACAAGTTATATGTTAATCATTATTCTATAGAACATACGTATGTTACTATTTACATGTATTTACATTTATATATGCATGTACATAGATAGGCTCATAAATACAAGTTATATGTTAATCATTATTCTATAGAACTTCATAAAATTCACATGTTAAATAGGATTACTTCCATGATTTTATTTATTTATTTATTTTTATATCCCTTCTTAGCCTAAAATACTATAAATTGAAATCAAAATACAAAATACAGTAGAGTTTTACTTGCATGTTTTCCCAAAATAATCTCTCTGGCAGTATCTCCTTCCCATGTTCTCCCTCTCTCTCTCTGTAACTCTTTCTACACAAAAGACTGATTTCTCAGTTAATGAATGCTTTATTTAATAAGAATCTGAAAAGTTCCTAGTCAAGTTATAGTTTTATACTGACCTACCTACTTTTGTTAGTGAAAAAAACGTGTTCAATTAAAGAAAAACGTGTTAACGTGTCTGTTACCTGAACCTTGTCCCATTCATCGTTTTCCCCAATTCAAAATTTAAAATTTTATTCTGCATATCTAATTATCCTTCAAGTAGAGAGCATCTAAAATTAAATTTGAAAATTTTCAAAAACTTTACCTGCTCATCTACACACACACATATATACGGTACCTTAATTATATACAAATATTACATTGGATCTTGCTCCAGTGTAGGGAAGACAAATTCAAACTCTTAAACCATGGATGTGGGGTTCACATCATGATTTATCCTGAATAATCACTTTCTTCAAAAGTATACAGATACAATCACTTTCTTCAAGGACATCTATGCAATATATATATATATATATATATATATATATATATTCATGGATATTTAATCAAATGTAGAAAAAGAAATGAAAAAAAGATTACCAATGAGGAACCCAATAATACAATTATCACAGACAACCTAATAATGACAGAAAAAGAATTATGATTTACACCAGAAGCAAAAGGGGATATTAACCTGTCTTTGTCTTCGACGCTGCAATATACTGATGGCCCAGGCCATAATGTAGCAGGGCAAAAGGAACCCAGCAGCCCGAAGCAAGAAAAGCTGCAAAGCATAGATAAATTCAGTTCAAACATAAATGATCATAAACCAGCAAAACGCAGAAATACGTCAGCCATAAAATAGACTGAGAAGTTCAATCCACTCACGGAGAAAAAGGTAGATGCATCATCTTCATCAGCATCCGTTACTGTCAATGCATGCCGCAAGAGAAGAAGAGCCATTAACTGCCAATGAAAACAGTAATTTCAAATCTTAATTGCATGGAGCATATGAGAAATCAAAAGCATATGAGAAATCAAATTCAAAGGCAAGAGTACGACAAACTTTTGGACAATGATGGCATCTTTCAACAATTATACAAAGGTTTACATAACAAAAACTTAGACCCCTGTGAAAGAGCGTATTTATGAATCAGATTAACTCTTAAACATAATAAAGTTTTCCTCTTCGCTCAAAGAGTTCAGTGTTAAATCATTTCCATTTTATCTGACTTTTGAAAGCAACACAGAACTAACAATGGAAATTCTAGCAACAAATGAATCTGAGAGCTTGATAGTTCGTTTTCCTGAATAATGTTTGATGGATTACATATAGTAATTCTGAGAACTTACAATTAGAGCAGCTGAACGACAAAATGCAGCTCCACTGGCATTTGTAGCAGCATAATCATCATACTCAGCTTCCAAAAAGTGACGTTCTGCCTCGGCCATTGCCAATAGGCGAGGATCATGCAAATCTAAAGGAGTACCAGAGATTGTCCATACACCACTGTAAAACAGATCCCAGAACCAAAAGAATACAAGACAGTATGTCATCATAATGAATCCATGATTCTCATGTACACCAAATTGTCAAAAGCAAGAAAGTAGATACAAAACAAATTCCAACAAGAAACAAAAAGAGAATGTAAGTAATTGTATAAAATTGAGTTAGACATATAGAAAAGAGAGCTTACCCGATATCAATGGCAGTCTCTTCAGAGGGGGGCGGAGGTGGAGGAGCAGTATAACCAGGTTGGTAAGGCTGTACACGAGATGCAAAATACCATCAATCAAAGATAAAACTGTTGTGCACCATAAGCAAAATATAATGATAGGAAAGAACTGCAGTCCTAGTAAGAGCAGAATGCTCATATATTGCACATGCAGTCTATTTTTCTTACTAGTTACTACTGAAAGGTACAATGTAATATGAACATGCATATGATTTGGTTACTATAACTAGACTTACCAAACACGATAAAGCCATATTCCAACTATTTGTGGTCAACTATATGAATCAGGTTCAACATTCTGCTCTAGTTAAGTTCATTATTTCAGTTAAATTGCATGCTATTATATCTTCCCTTAATTTTGGTCTTTCCCTACCCCTACCATTATCCTCAATAAAGGCCACATCACTCTTCCTCACTAGCGTTGTTGGTTTTCACTACACATGACCAAACCACTGTCAATTTTCTTTTATTTGTTAGTGAGAATTCCTCGTCTCATAAATTTATTCATTTTGAGAAATCCTATTTTTTTTTTTTTTTGGCCTTACGTGCTATCCATTCCAATATCCACATATTGACTATTATGCTCATTATTTTGTCTCTTAATTATCCAATATTCTATCACATATAGTAAGAATGCTGTAATAGATATTTATAAAATTTACCTTCCTATTTTAGAGGTATGCCTTGATCACATAATATGTCAGAACACTTCACACTCAATCTATTCTCTTAAATTCTATGAGAAACATATCTTCAGTCTCCCCCTCTTTGTGAAAGCCAAGGTAACAAAACCGTTCACTAGTTATAGTGAATATGCACTAAGCTAGAACCTAAATAGTTTGATATTTGCAGGTCGTGGACAAAACTGGAAATCCACATATTCTGGTATTCATAGGTATCGGGCAAAATAGTTTTACACTATTTATAAAGGGAGTATGCAATAAATGCAGCTTATTTATCATGTTCTTCTATACTAAGTAGTCAATGGGCTACTACCTAAAACTTATTTTGGAGTTTCTTGACCTATTTATATTTTTCTAAAATATTTATTCAAAATCTTTACGAGTGATACAAGCTTACATTTCACAATATAAATCTGATCCACTTCAATATATTGGTATAATCCTGAGCATTCATATAACATAGAATGACTTGTATTGGCCTCATAATAGTGACAATCAAGAAATAAGGAACAACAAGGATACCTGATGGCATATCTCACAAGTTATATCTCCTTTCTCATTGCACCAGTGTTGAACACATTTTCTGTGAGCATACTGCATAAATTGTAATGTGTTGTTAATACATTTAGAAACAATGGTACAAAAAGTTTTAATTTTATTTGGGGGAGGAGGGAGGGGAAGGACTTAACAGCATCAAAGTGAAAAGTGAAAACATAGAGAAAAGAGACGAGAAAAGGAAAATAAATAATTAAATAAGAGGAATGGCAATGCTGTATTGATCGCAGGTATATATAGATGTTACCATGTCTACACAAGTATGCCCCTAGATGGACTCAATTAGTTTAGGATGTTACATTCCAATGTGAAATTATGATGTCCAAAGGGATCGGGACTTCAACATAAAAACAGAATGAAAGATTTGCTTTAGAGCAAGCATGTAGTCAATTGGCTATGACCATTCGCCTGAGACTGTAATAGGAGTGTGTAATCATTCAAGAAAATAATTGAAGGTCACACATGATGCTGCGCCACCAGCACAACACATCAAAATGAGAAAGCAGAAAAATACCTACATGGTCTCAAAAGAGAATTACAATGTTGTCATATCCGTTAAGTCATGAAGAATTTGACCCACCTTGTGCCCAATAAATGAATACATCTCTTGTCATGAACAAATTTAGCAGGAAACTTAGAAAAATTCAGCAGATTCTTGGGGAAGCTTCTCAATACAATAATAGTTTTTTCAAAAAATCCTACATAACTTTTAAAAAGTTTGCCGGAGACATGTTTACATTAATTTCTGATTTTTAAATCATTGAAAAAATGATGTGTAAACATTTCTCATAATTCCCAATAAATTCTCACCATAAAGTTTCTCTTCCAGTTTCCATATGATTTCTCCAACATTTCTATTTGCTTGGCAATATTTGTCCAAAAAAAAAAAAAAAAAAACATAAGCCCACTGTCTAATTCAAAACCACTTTGTCCCCTCAAGCTCCCAACATATTTTCTGTACTATATTTACCACTCCCATTCACATGCCAGTTGCCACTCAATTTTTTTTTTTTTTGAAACAAAAAGCAAAAAAGAAAAAATCTTTTACCAGGAACAACTACTTGAAAGAAGAATAACTTCCAAATTCAATACCTTTCTAAAGCCACAATTCTACAACTAAAACATCTATTCTTCTTCTGCTAACTTTCTATTCACAATTTATAGAAGAACAATTAAACAAAAAGCAAACAAATTCGAATATGTTGTTGCCCTATTGCAAAATGAGTACCAAACATTACCTTAAGACTGCCACTGCAAGCACAAGGAGTCTCCAAATTATTCACAGAATCTTCTTCCTGACAAATTCGGCACTCGGCCATATTTATAAGCGGCATTTCCTCATCGGAAACATCATTCCCCCTCACCAACACCTTCTCATCCCCTCCTACCACTGAGCACGACGGTCCCGCCTCATCCGGCCGCCTCTCCGCACCGACCTCAGACTCCTTAATCGATCGTGCGTTCACCGGCTTCTCAAGTTGGTCCACATACAGCACCAAATGATCACCCATCACATGAAACACCTATAGACCTAAGAAACACAATAAAACACATATAATTCCCAAAAAAAAAAAAAAAAACCCTAGAAATACATTTGCATTCACATGGAATTGTGGAAACCGTAGAAATTCACAGATCACGCGGATCAACAAAGCGGATCAAGGGATTTCAATCCATATTTGGTGAAATTGAACTCAAAAGAAACGAAATGAAATTGAATTGAAAAATTTGCAGAGATTTAGTACCTGAGGAAGAAGATGGAAAATCGGAACCGCGTGTTAGGTGGCTGATCGAAGAGAAAAGGTACTTTCTCTCTCTTACTCACACTTTCTCTCTCTAGGATCCGCGTTTTCGTTTGTATTCTTGTGTTAGCTGGTGTTACTCGTGAATTTGCTTGAATTAGGAGGTTGGTATTTATAGGGCTGTAGGCTCGGATTTGCCGAGCCTGTTATGGAGGTCCGGTGACGTTCATCCAACGGCTACCATGGGCAATTGTGTCAATTCACATATTGCCGCGTAACCAGTCTACCCACTTTGAGTTGTTCTCCGGTGATCGGTGGTCCCTTTTGTGGTCAATGTAATCTTACAAATGTCAACCAACTTGGTGTCAGTTATAAATAGGATGGTCTATCTATTTATTTATTTATTTATTTTTGGATAAAGACATTTGGTTACATATTTATTTATTTATTTTATTTTTGTCCATCGACGAGAAATACTCACATACCCACAATACTTTTACGAGAATTTAAACCCGACTTTCTCCGTTGAAAGACGAAAAAGTATAATACGTTATCAACATATTATGTTACACTGCCTTGGTCATTAGGTTACTAATTGTGTTAGCCCAACATAGTCAATGACATAACACGTTATCAACATATACTTAAGAGCCACAATGCTCTTACGGGAATTTATACCCGACCTCCATTCAAATATGAAAAAGTATCACTAGGGCATTAGGCTATACTACGGTCATTAGGTTACTAATTGTGTTAGCCCAACATAAGCAATGACATAATACGTGATCAATAAAAGAGTGACGAAAAGAGTCTGAATCGGAGTAGGAGTTGATGTTATTATGATATTATAAATATTAATGACATTACGATAATATAAGCACCCACTTACAAAAATTAGTTGAAATTGTATGACTTTTGAATTTCAAATTATTATCTATATTTAAATGGGATGATTCTTATCTCTCGAAGCATGTTCATAAAATAAATGTGTTGTTTTTACTAATAAAGAGTGTGTTTGGATGAAAAATAGGAAAAGAAAATTAGATGACGGTAAAGGCAAAATAAATTAGAAGGCCTTTTAAAATAAAAATTAGTAATGAGGAAAAATAAATTATCGAGGAATAGTGTTGACTAGGGTTTGAAATGAGACATGTTTGATCTGGGATTTGATCTGAAGTCAAAAAAAAAAAAAATGACCTTTTTTTTAAAATAAAAAAAAAAAAAATTTGACTCGTAAAAGTGAATTCTTATTAGGGATGACTTTCCCATATTTTCATCTTTAGCAATGAATAACTTATTCAAAGGGGTATGGATTATATTTTGTGACATAAGGCATGAAGTAGGATCGCATAAAAAGTGACAAAAGGCATGAAATAGATTGGCACCAAAAGTGACACTAACTACAAAATACATGGCTTAATTCTAAAATTAAATGTAGTGTTTTTATTTTTTATTTTTTTTTATAATATTTTAAAATTATTCTTTGATATTAACTTGAGTTATTTGATGGGGGCTCATTACGAAGTATTTTTTTATTTTTTAGTAAGGATAAATTTAAAATTTTACTATTATCAATATTGTAGAAAAAAATTAAAAATTTAATACCATTAAAAGTTGAATTTCTCAAAAATTTCAACGTCGGATAGAGGGTTAAGAAATTATTAAGTGGTCCTCAATCATTTGACACGTAGTGGACCAGTTCAGTCCAAACTGTTGTTGAATTTTTTTTGTAATATATTAATATATTTTTTAAGTTCTAAAATCTTATGATTCATGTCTACCAAGTAGGGGTAGCAATTTGTATTCGCGAGTCATAATCATGTCGTGTTGACCTGAGGGTATTCTACTAAATAACTTAACCTGAACATAATCGGTTTAATTTTCGTGTCAGGAACCCTCAACACTAAACCGATCTGTTTATTAAACAGGTTACACGTATAATCCGTTTAATAACTTATTTACTAAAATAAAAAATTACTATATTATTTAAATTATTAATAATACTCAATCAAATAATAAATACTAAAAAAAAAATCTAAGTTTCCATCCAACCAAATTACTAAATAATCTCTAGTCTATAAACGAGTAAATTATAAGAAACGCGTTTAGATAGTTATTTAGAAACTTAAATATAAAGTTGTTTATGGCACGTATAATTAAATTGATATAAACGAGTTACACAGGTTGAACAATCTCAACCCAAACACAACTAGATTAACTAAACGAAGGGGTTTGGCCTTGCCCCCCCTCGGCTGCGACGAAGTCGGTTTTGTTTTTAGCCGTTCTCCTCCGTTTAGACTTCGAATCATGTGATTTTTTAGTCTAACTTCGTTAATTTTTTGCTGTCTATCCAATGGTGTGCTTGATAGCACCCATAACTTTTTTAAAATTACTATTTTGCCTCTAGGGCTAAAATTATCAGTTTTTAAAATATTGCTTCCGCATTTTGTTTTCTTTTTAAATTCCGTGACTTCATGGAAAGTCACTCTTGCGTTATTGGAATGCCGTTTATTCTTAAAAACCTTATTTTCTTTATTTTTGCTTCCGCATTGTAGATCCGTTAAGTCACTCTTGCGTTCTTGGGATGCCGTTTATCCCTAAAAACCTTGTTTTCTTTATTTTCGCTTCCACATTCCGAATCTGTTATCGGGTCATATTGACATATCCAAATTTGTGAAAATTCGGATCGTCACGAATACCTATTTATAATCCAAAACTATTTAAGATTAACCAAAACCCATTGAAGTAATGTCACCCCTAATCAAATGTCAATGAATGATAGCCATCAAATAATTTCTCATAATTTATTAGCTGTGCATAACTTTCTAACCACCAATCTACTTACCTTTCTTTAATATAAACAGTCTGGGGTTGGTTGGATACTTACTGTATCAAATTGGATTCAGAAAATTATAAAAATGAAATTTGGATAACAGCAAGATATAACCCAACCCAACCCAAATTTGTCACATCGCCAGTTGGACTTCAACGTGGGCTTCTTTTTCATCATTCAATATAACCATTTTACTGAACAAAAAGATCTTATCCAGTAGGTCAGATTATATTTTTGCAAATTTAATGGCGCCAAGATTTGATCAACTAAAAGATTACATCATTCCACATCCATCCATTCAATTATATATATTTTCATTTGGTATGTATAGTTAGCCTATTTAGTTACCTGTCTTATGGTAAATCTGTATTTTGCTTATTATGCATTCTATTTTAGATTCTAAACCTTAAAATTGTATTACACAAACAAACATGACATTAATTTAAAAAATAATAAATTTGAGAAAATACAATAAAATGAAAAAATAATAAAATTGAGAAAATATAATAAAATGATGCGGAAGAACTTTAGGAAAATTTTGTTTTTTATTATATCTTTTTTCTGAACAAGTTTTAACTCTGTCTTATTTTGAGTTTAAAAATTGTAATTTGGAAAATGTTATACCTTTTGCACCTAGTCAAAATATTTCAAATTTTGAATAGGTTTAAGTTCAATATCACCTACCTTTTGAAAATTTTGATTGTTTTATAACCTATTGCACTTTCATGACATAGGGATTTTATTACAATAAAATTGAATTAATGAGGCCTTTAATTTGGAAAATGGAATAAAAATTCCAATGGATATGCTTAAACTGGACATGATTAATCCCATCGGTATAGCTTGAAGTTTTCAAATGACTTTTTTACTTATTTATATGCATCAGAAATATCATAGATATTTGCTCTACGTACCTCCTTAATCTTCTAACTCTTTCTACAATCTATGGACAAATGTGGAACACTCTATAATTTAACTTTACCTATATCATCTGGACAGACTAGACACCGTGCATAGTCCTCCATTTGCAGTTAGAACCTTTCAAAAGTCACTATTTTGCATTTAATGATACTCTGTTTATCATTTGAAAATGTCCTTTGCTTCATAGTTATCCTCGTATTGCTCTAGGAAAATAATTAAAAAAACCACAATTTTAGAAACAATTCCTTTTAATTTAAATGTCCTTTGCTTCATAGTTATCCTCGTATTGCTCTGGGAAAATAACTAAAAAAACCACAATTTTAGAAACAATTCCTTTAAATTTAATTGTTTACCCATGCAGTACAATATTTTGGATTAAAAATAAATCAAATTTAAAGTTCGAACTATTTAATAAAATAATTATTCAAAAGTGTTACTTTCATACTGCCAAACGTAATGAAATTGTCAATTAAAATTCCTTAAAAGAAAAAAAAAAGGGTAAGTCAATTAATTTGTGTACTGAAACAACGGGTGTGACTAATATTGACAGACAAGGTTTATACTCTATCATGTGAAAAATAATGTGATGCGTATTATTTTATTTCATTTCAAAAAATTTAAAATAACATTCAATTCACACTCATGGTCTAAGCGCACACTTGAAATGGCAGCAACTCTATTGAACTTGCCCATGCCGAGTTATTGAAAATGACATTATTCATACTCGAATTTAGGATATCCAATTGCCAGCCATAAAAGTTAAAACCCTTCAACAGCATATATTTAAATCTGTCGTATCACCAATTTGATGCATTGAGAGCTTGACATCCAGCTATTGAGACTCCTCTCCACTTCAATTTGACAATTTGTCCAAACATTCAATAGTATAAATATTTCTAGGAGAGTAACGTATTACGTGTTGAATATCGATAGTAATGTATTACGTATTGAATATCGATACTCTACGGATATTTGTTCAATACTTCTTAAGCGTATCCATAATTTTTAATTTCTAACACATATTCAATACTTCTTAAATATGTCCTCTTTAATACGTATTAAATAATGTCTTATGTATTACGTATTAGGGATGACTTTCCCAGTATTTTCCTCTTTAGCAATGAATAACTTATTCAAAGGGTATGGATTATATTTTGTTATTCCAACCAATAAATGAAAAGTGACATAAGGCATGAAGTAGGATCACATAAAAAGTGACATAAGGCATGAAATAGATTTGCACCAAAAGTGACACTAACTCCAAAATACATGGCTTAATTCTAAAATTAAACGTACTGTTTTTATTTTTTATTTTTTTTATAATATTTTAAAATTATTCTTTGATATTAACTTGAGTTATTTGATGGGGGCTCATTACGGAGTATTTTTTTATTTTTTAATAAGGATAAATTTAAAATTTTACTATTATCAATATTATTAAAAAAAAATAAAAATTTAATACCAATAAAAGTTGAATTTCTCAAAAATTTCAACGTGGGATAGAGGGTTAAGCAATTATTAATTGGTCCTCAATCATTTGACACGTGGTGGACCAGTTCAGTCGAAATCGTTGTTGAATTTTTTTTTGTAATATATTAATACATTTTTGAAGTTATAAAATCTTATGATTCATGTCTACCAAGTAGGGGTGGCAATTCGTATTCGCGGGTCATAATCGTGTCGTGTTGACCTAAGTGTATTCTACTAAATAGCTCAACCCGAACACAACCTGTTTAATATTCATGTTAGGAACCCTCAACACTAAACCGACATGTTTATTAGAGGGTTACACTAGGGCTGCAACTCGGGCGGGTTGGGCGGGTTGAAGACTTAATTCGGGCTCAGCCCATGTACAAAATTTTTTGCCCAAGCCCAGCCCGAGCTTGCCTAAAGCCCACTCCCAGCCACCCAAGCCCAGCCTATAATTAACTTTTCCTATCCAAGTCCGCCCATGAGCCCACGCCTCTATATTCAGAATGTAAAAAATAAGAAATTTGTGCAACTACAACGACTTGAACAAAATTCCTCCAAGAAAAATCCCAAACACACTACCAATTGAGCTATTAAACACTTGTGAAATAACATAGTTTTAAAATAAATATACCCTTTTCGAGCTCGGGCTGGGCTTCGGGCTTTATATAATATCAACCCAAGCCCAGCCCGAATTTAATTCGTGCTCAGAATATTTAGCCCAAGCCCAAACCTAGAACAGAAAAACACTGCCCAAGCCCTGAAAATTTCGGGCTGGGCTCGGGTAAATTCGGGCTGGCCCAGCTCGAGTTGCAGCCCTAGGTTACACGTATAACACGTTTAATGGTCTATTTACTAAAATAAAAAACTACTATATTATTTAAATTATTAATAATACTTAATCAAATAATAAATACTAAAAAAATCTAAGTTTTAATCCAACTAAATTACTAAATAATCTCTAATCTATAAACGAGTAAATTATAAGAAACGCGTTTAGATAGTTATTTAGAAACTTAAATATAAAGTTGTTTATGGCACGTATAATTAAACCAGTATAAAAGAGTTATACAGGTTGAACAATCTTAACCCAAACACAATTAGATTAACTAAACGGAGGGGTTTGGTCTTGGCCCCCCCTCGGCCGCGGCGAAGCCGATTTTGTTTTTAGCCGTTCTCCGTTCAGACTCCGAATCATATGATTTTTAAGTCTAACTTCGTTAATTTTTCACTATTTATCTAATGGTGTGCTCGATAGTATCCATAACTTTTTTAAAATTACTCTTTTGCCCCTAGGGCTAAAATTATCAAATTTTAAAATATCGCTTCCGCGTTTTGTTTGCTTTTTAAACTCTGTAACTTCATGGAAAGTCACTCTTGTGTTCTTGAAATGCCGTTTATCCTTAAAAACCTTGTTTTTTTGTTTTCGCTTTCGCATTCCGGATCCGTTAAGTCACTCTTGCGTTCTTGGGATGCCGTTTATCCCTAAGAACCTTGTTTTCTTTGTTTTCGCTTCCGTATTCCGAATCCGTTATCGGGTCACATTAACATATTAGGATTTGTGAAAATTCGGATCGTCACAAGTACTTATTTATGATCCGAAACTATTTAAAATAAACCAAAACCCATTTAACGAATGTCACCCCTAATCAAATGTCAATGAATGAGAGCCATCAAATAATTTCTCGTAATTTATTAGCTGTGCATAACTTTCTAACGACCAAACTACTTACCTTTATTTAATATAAACAGTTTGGGGTTGGTTGGATACTTACTGGTATCAAGTTGGATTCAGAAAATTATAAAAATGAAATTTGGATAACAGCAAGATATAACCCAACCCAACCCAACCCAAATTTGTCACATCGCCAGTTGGACTTCAACGTGGGCTTCTTTTTCATCATTCAATATAACCATTTTACTGAACAAAAAGATCTTATCCAGTAGGTCAGGTTATATTTTTGCAAATTTAATGGCGCCAAGATTTGATCAACTAAATGGGATGAGGGACAAAAAGGGAAAAGATTACATCATTCCACATCCATCCATTCAATTATATATATTTTCATTTGGTATGTATAGTTAGCCTATTTAGTTACCTGTCTTATGGTAAATCTATATTTTGCTTATTATGCATTCTATTTTAGATTTCTAAACCTTAAAATTGTATTACACAAACAAACATGACATTAATTTAAAAAATAATAAATTTGAGAAAATACAATAAAATGAAAAAATAATAAAATTGAGAAAATATAATAAAATAATGCGGGAGAACATTAGCAAATGTTTATTTTTTATTTTATCTTTTTATTTTTAGCAAGTCGTGAATAAGTTCTAACTCTATCTTATTTTGAGTTTAAAAATTGTAATTTGGACAATCCAATCGGTTATACCTTTTGCACCTGGTCAAAATATTTCAAATTTTCAATATATGTTTAAGTCCAATATCAGCTACATTTGGAGCGACATTTGAAATTTTGATTGTTTTATAATCTGTTCAAGTCCAACCTATTGCACTTTCATGACATAACATGTTGTGGGATTTCATTACAATAAAATTGAATTAATGAGGCCTTTAATTTGGAAAATGGAATAAAAATTCCAATGCATACGCTTAAACTGGACATGATTAGTCCCATCTGTATAACTTGAAGTTTTCAAATGACTTTTTCACTTATTTATATGCATCAGAAATATCATAGATATTAACTCTACATAACTTCTCAATCTTCTAACTCTATGGACAAATGTGGAACACTCTCATCTAGACACCATGCATAGTCCTCCATTTGCAGGTAGAACCTTTCAAAAGTCACTATTTTGCATTAACCACAATTTTAGAAACAATTCCTTTTAATTTAATTGTTTACCCATGCAGTACAATATTTTGGACAAAAATATAAATCAAATTTAAAGTTCGAACTATTTAATAAAGTAATTATTCGAAAGTGTTACTTTCGTACTTCCAAACGTAATGAAATTGTCAATAAAAATTCCTTTTAAAAAAAAAGTAAGTCAATTAATTTGTGTACTGAAACAACATGTGTGACTAATATTGATAGACAAGGTTTACACTCTCTCGTGTGAAAAATAATGAGATGTGTAAATATTGACATTTCTTATTTTATTTCATTTCAAAAAATTTAAAATAACATTCAATTCACACTCATGGGTCTACAAACGCACTTGAAATGGCAACTCTATTAAACTTGCCCATGCCGAGTTATTGAAAATGACATTATTCATACTCGAATTCTAATTGCCAGCCATAAAAGTTAAAACCCTTCAACATCATATATTTAAATCTGTCATATCACTAATTTGACAATTTGAAAACTGGTCTAAATATTCCGATACTTTTAAGAGAGTAACGTATTATGTGTTGAATATCGATACTCCACAGATAGATGTTGGATACTTCTTAAACATATCCATAATTTTTAATTTCTAACACATATTCAATACTTCTTAAATATTTCGAGTTTCGACTACGTATTCAAATACTTCATATCACATTCTTAATAAGTTTGAACATTAAAATGTAACTTTTATAACAATAATAACATAGTATAATTGTTATAAAAAATTAAATTAAATTTTATCAAGTAATAACAAAGGATACTCGTTTTATGTATTTTGAAACAAACTTCTATGTTATATTAATAATTACATTTAGATTCATAATATTTTTTAAAATTTGACCAAAAATTAATTTTTTTAAATATATAAAAATACAATTTATTAATTTTTTTATTGGCGTATCCTGACATACCCCTATCTTGTTTTTTAAAATTAGTCATATCATTGTATCCGTATTGTATCATATCTATATCCGTACATGTGCTTCCTAGATTCCATGACAAGGGTTACCAAAGGGCATTAAACACAAATAGCTGGCAAAGAAACACAATTACGGTCTGGACATGACAACTATCTTCTTGCAACAATTTTTCCCTATTGCAACAAAAGGATATTCTGGGCCACCATATACAGCCCCCACCATCTTTCCTCTGCAACCCAGCAGATATTGATTCTTGTTTCTAGTTCAGAAAATGGGAGCAAATTGCATGTTTGGCTCCCAATAAATACAAATTACAACATTATCCTTTTACATAAGAGCTCGAATGATTCATTATATCTATCCTCCTCTGTGAAACCTCGCAAAACTAAGATCTGCCCTCTTCCTTCAATAGGTATATTGAAGAGCCTTTAACAAGGGCACTAAGACCAAGGAAGCACACCTGAGATTATTTGGCTCCTAGCCCCCTTCCTCCCTATTCTATGAAACGAGGAAAAGAATGTGCTACGACACCTCTTAAAGAAGATATCAACATCTAGTGACGTGTGTAACTATGTATTTTCATTTATCAAGGTCGTAGATTGTTTTGAATTGCGGCTTCCTCCACTTTGATACCGACCATGCGGTAAACATCAATGCAATCAAGATTACACATAAAGCGAGCAGTGAGGGTGAGTCATCTCTAACAATGTAGGAAATCCAGTTGGGAAGCTCTACGTCCAAGTCAGCTGTGCTCTGTAGGATGAAAGCTCCCAATGCCCAGTCGAGTGGGATATCAGCCACTTGATTGACAAACCCAATGCTGCTAAACAGAAATTCCAATAAACGCACGTACACAGCGAGATAGAGATAGAGATAGAGATAGAGAGAGAGAGCTTAACCATAGCTTTATGCAAAGAAGCACACAACTTTTAAAAGCTCTGTATTCAAGGAGGCATTGTTTGCATAAATTGAGGAAAAAAGCAATACCTTCCATCATCTAGAGAAATTCCAAGACTGTCATGAAGTAGGGCCACAATATATGCTGAAGAGAAGCAATATCGCAACAAGTCCTCATCATCAAATGAGTGGTATTTTATCTTCAACTTTGACCAATCCTCTTCACAAAATTGTTGTCCAGCCCTCATCAGATCAGAAATGTATGCCTTGGGTGACAACCCAAAGAACTGTCCAAAGCAAGGAAAAAAGGAAAGGTGAAAAAGATCATACAACAATCAAGTCAGAAAGTGCTTAACGATGACAAGTGAGTACAGATTCGCAGAAAAAAAATAGTTATTCCCCAGCATCATACAACAAATACAGGAAACGGCCTCTCCATATGCAAAGGTAAGGTTGCATACATCAGCCCTACCCTCCCAGACCCCACAATGGCGGGAGCCTCATGTACTAGACTAGCCCTAGCCCAATATCATACAACAAATACACCTGAATATGCTTTATGGTGGCAAGTGGAAGTACAAATCTCCGAAAAGCATTAATGTTTTCCTGCGACATATGAGCAAGTCATAGAACTGTTGAACTATGAAAGAAAAAAAATAAACCTTCAATGTATGGAAGAAATTTTCTGTTGCCAAAAACTTCCCCCGAAGCTTTGGTATGAATGTTGATCCTATGTAACAGTGCTGATATGAGCATTTCTCTGCACCTCGTAGAAGGGAAAAAAAAAAAAAAAATCATTCATTACTTCCAACAAGAAACAATCAGCAACTCCCAGATTAATGCTGAAATGAGGCAGCGTTGCTAAAAAAATTTGTATACCTGTTCCTTTTTGCAACAACATTAATGCAGCAGATCTGCACTCTGAGAAATTACCCCCAGGATGCAGCGTGGATAGATACCAATTCTTTTCAGCCAAAGAACCAGGAGAGAGATTCCACGATTTTGTATCATGTGAATATCCTTTAGGGATGCAAGGATTTACAAATTGTCCACTCTGAAGAGATTCAGTAGCTGCATTAATGGAAAAAACAATGAAGAATGTGTCTGAACATCCGTTTTCTACAAATAATGAAACTATAAGCCTAATTGTAGGCAACAGAAAAAAGAAAAAGCCATATACTGACTAGTGTAACTCTTAACAACATTTGTATATATAGCATCTGACATTATAGATCCTATTTAAGAATCCTATACTACAATAAAGTAATTGGAAACAGAAAAAGGAACCAAAAACAAAATGTGCTAATCAATCCCAAATTCGCAACAGCTTCTCCGGTCATAGCACCACCCAAATAACTGCCATTTGGTAAAAATACATTATTTGTCACAATATATATATATATTATTTGTTACAAAATATTGTAGTGTCTGGTGTCACTGATATTTAAGAACAAATATAATTTATAGAATATTGTAAAGTATGATGTTACTGATATTTAACTATATACTTAATTTCAAATGAAATCTGGTGAGAAAAGAGGGTTTCCATTAGTTTCTCCATCTGAGAAGTAGAAAACTCTTCATTTTGCATCAAAAAAAGAAAAGAAAAGGACAAAGAAAAAGAATTATGAATATAAGATCGAGTGTTGAAGTGTCAACAGCCTAAAAAGAAAATAAAGACAACTTTTTTTCTTTTGATAAGTTAGATAATAAAGAGAACACAAGACAAGAGGAAAATAGGTTGTGATATCACCACCTACAAGAAATAGAAGTGTCAAAGTTTTAATCTAGATTGAGGACTAAATGGAATAGGAAAGCTCAAACAATAAAATCTAATGTTTTTTAGGCAATTAATATTAGGAGTGACTACACTCAGACATCATTGATCAATGCTTAGAGGTTTCAAAGGACTTCACTCATTGCCACAAAATCTATCAGAACACTATGGATGAACCATCAAGAAACGTGTTACACGAATTAGGATACATGTCTTGGGTGCAGATGTGCGTAGGTGTGACAGACCTCTTTAAATCTGAAAACTCAAGATATGGGAACTTGGCTTGGAATGTATCAAAAGGTCAGTTACAGATATGTAGAGACGTCTTGCATATTTAAATACATTATATGGAATATTGTAATTATATGGTTTTACTGGTATTTATATGGCGAAGAAAGAGGGTTTCCTTCATCATCACAAGTAGTTGATAAACATTTTAATTTGGGTTCATGTGTCAAACACATACACCATACCGATATCCATGTACTGACATGAGCATACCTAATGCCTTTCAATAAACCCCATATCAGCCTGTGCACGGACTGTATAAGCTTAAAAAAAAAAAAAAAAAAAAAAAAAAAAAAAAAAAAAAACTAGTTGTCTATGCGTTTATGCTCAAGTGGTTATAGGCTAGCAAATGCTTAATTCGGTGTTCCAGTGATTCTTCAATCCTTGGTTTGGAGAAGATTCCTATCACTCTCTTACTCTCTTCAACCACCACTCATTATCTAATGGCTCACCTAGGACCTTGAAGACTACTTTGCACCCATCACAACCAACCCAGCAAATTGCATTGTTCTCCCCGAGAATGCTGCGGCCCGGTTTGAGATTAGGCCCGCTACAATCAGTACGTTACCCAAGTTTTTTTTTTTTTTGATAAGTCAGTATGTTACCCAAGTTATACGGATTTGAAAGTGAAATAAACCTTATATCCATTTGGGAAAGTTTTTACCTATTTTGCAACACTTTCAAAAACCAGAATTTGGATGAAGAGGGTATCAAATCGCGTCTTTTTCCCATATCCTTAGAAGATAAGATTGTCTCATGGTTAAACTCCATTCCTCCAAATTCTATTAGATCATGGGATGAACTTGTAAAGAAATTTATAATAAAGTTTTATCCCATGCAAAAGATTGAGTCAATGAGAGATTCCATAAGTACTTTTAAAGGGAAAAATGAGGAACAAGTTCACCATAGTTGGGGGCGCTTTTACGATTTGCTTCTCAAATGCCCACACCATGGCTTCGATAAAGCACTGTTAGTCCAATTTTTTTATAAGGGGCTTCCACATATTAATTGAACCATGGCCTTGTCCATGCACCAAGGTAAATTCAAGGCACAAACCCCATACCAAGCCTACACATTTTTAGAAAAACTAGCTGAGAATGCCCAAAATTGGAATTGGAACACTTCTAATGATGAATTTTCTAGGAATGACAAAACCAATAGAAAATCTGGTCTGAATGAGATCAAGCCTGAAAATGAATTAAAATCTGTGATGCAAAATCTAGCCGAATGAGTGAAAGACTTGGGCAAAAAGTTTGATGCTTATGTCCATAAGTGCGCAATGCAACGTGAGTTAGTTCATCTCATCCCACTGATTCATATCCGGTATATTGTACATCTAAACCTTCAGATGCACAAGTGTATGCCCTTAATACATATAGGAGACCAACGGCTAATAACTTTAGCCAAACTTGTCATCCTGATACTAGAAACGATCCCAACTTTTCATGGAGACAAAATTTTCTTCCACAAACTTAGGTGGTCAACTAGCTTTCCAAGGTAATTCCAATAGGCAACAACAACCTCAAGGATTGCTTGTTCCTTGAGGTTGTAACAAAGATCTAGCACTTGATCCCATGAGCAATTTTTGTTTCTCCTGTCCAACAGAACCAACATGTTTTCAACTATAAGGACACACTGAAGATACTTGAACTTAATCTAGACCAATCTAATAAGCAATCCAATTAGAAAATTCAAAAGTTAGAGAGTCACTTAGACCTTTTGACTCAAAACCAACTGCAATTTCAACCGTTAATCCAAAATCAGTTGAGTCAACTCACTTCTGTTTTGTCTGAAAGACATTCGGGTACCTTGCCTAATCAACTTGAAATCAACCCTAAAGGCAAAGGGTTATTCACATAGAAACTTTCTCTACCACTAATAAATCAAATGGCCATGTGAATTCCATCACAACAATTTGGTCAGGAAAGTAAATAGATAACAAGGTTGAGCCACCTACCCAAGATGAGACTGCACAATCAAAGTCTCGTCCATCAAACCCTTCCAAAGCCAAGAAAGACCAAGGTCCTCAAACTCTTCAGCCATATGTTACACCTGCACCTTTTCTTAGACTAGTCAACAATAAAAAGGATTCGCAATATAATGAGATATTTGAGATTTTTCAAAATGTTTAGATTAATATCTCATTCCTTCTTATACAAAATTCATCATAGACTTAGTCAAGAGCAAAACCAACATCCTTAAGGAAGCCTTCATAGCCCAACATTGTTCCTCTTTCCTACAAAACCAAGCCTTCGTCAAGCATCAAAAACCCGAAAGTCCGACTATCACTTACAGGATTAGAGAAAATTTTGCTGACCAAGAGTTACCTTATTCAGTCTACCAATAGTTACGATCGAATAATTTGAGAAAAACTGATGTTATAATTCAATTAGCAGATTGATCAGTTAAGATTACAAGGGTTATAATTGAGAATGTGATTGTCAAAGTGGCTGATTTTTATTACATTGTAGACTTCATTGTGCTAGATACCCAACCCACTTAAGGAAATCAGATTCCAATAATTTTAGGTCGACCATTCTTAGCTACCACCAATGCATTAATCAACTGTAATAATGGCAATATAACCTTGACCTTTGGTAATATGAAAGTGGAAGTCAATGTGTTTAGCTTGATGAAACAGCCCCCCGACTAAGATTCCATTGAAGAGGTCTGTCTTAATAGCTCACACCTTTGGGCACTCCTACCTTGAGGATCCACTCTAGCAGTGTCTAAAGTAGAATGGATTGTTGGGGCCACTCATTCCGTTTAGTAATCTTACCTCACAGTTGGCATTTAGGACAAGCTAAACATTAGGTATGGGTGTCCTTAAAAATGGTGGGCAATTAAAATCCCGTCTGCATCTAGGACAAGCTAGACAGTAGGTGTAGGTGTCCACTCATTCAGATTAATATCTCATTTCTCACTGCTATTAAACAACTTCCTTCTTATGCAAAGTCTATCAATGACTTAGTCAAGAGGAAAATCAACATCACTAAGGAAGCTTTCGTTGCCCAACATTATTCCTCCTTCTTACAAAACCAAGCCATGGTCAAACATAAAGATGCCGGAAGTCCGACTATCACTTGTAGGATTGATGATATCAAAAGCATTAGTCCTTCAGTGGTACATCATCGTATTCACTTACAGAATGATGCTAAAACATGTAAGCAATCCGAGAGGCAACTTAACCCTAACTTGAAGGAAGTTATCTGTGTTGATTCTGCTTAAGTAATCAGACTTCTTGACGTTGGTATCATATATCCCATCTCTGATAGCCAGTCGGTAAGTCCAGTCCAAGTAGTATCCCTAACTTGTAGGAAGTTGTTCGTGCTGAAGTAATTAAACTTCTTGATGGTGGTATCATATAAACCATCTTTAATAGCCAGCGAGCAAGTTTAGTCCAAGTAGTTCCTAAGAAGTTCGGCATCGCTATCCCAATTACCGTAATGAATTAGTTCCTACTTGTGTCCAAACTGGATGGCGAGTTTGCATCGACTCTAGGAAGCTTAATAGTGTGACTAGGAAGGATCATTTCCCTTTACCTTTGGTCACCAAATGTTAGAGAAATTAGTTGATCAGTCTTTTTATAGCTTTTAGATGGTTACTTAGATACCTATCCACTCCGATGACCAACATAAGACAACTTTCACCTGTTCATTCAGTACATTTGCTTATCGTCGCATGTCGTTTGGCTTTTGCAATGTCTGCTATGTTCCTGCGGTGTATGATGAGTATCTTTAGTGACATGGTTGACAAGTTTCTAGAAGTCTTCATGGATAACTTCTCTGTCTTTGGCTCATCATTTGAGCAATGCCTACACCATCTTACTCTCATGCTTCAATGTTGTTGTGATACTAACCTAGTTCTTAACTGGGAAAAATGTCATTCCAAGGCACAAAAGGGAATTGTCCTTGGTCATACTATCTCCAGTGTAGGCATTAAGGTAGATAAAGCAAAAGTTGACCTCATCTCCAATTTCCCTATTCCCAAAATGATTCACGACATTAGAGCTTTCCTAAGTGATGCTAGTTTCTAAGGCGATTCATCAAAGACTTCAGTAAGATAGCACGACCTCTGACCCATCTTCTAGCTAAGGATGCCCCATTTAAGTTTACTGATTTGAGTTTATAGATGCTTGTCACTCTACTTTTGAGTAATTAAAGTCCACCTAAACTACTACACCCTTAATCTGCCCGCTTAATTGGAACCTACCTTTTGAGATCATGTGTGATGTAGTCGGGGCTATTTTAGGGCAAAGAGTTGATAAAGCACCCTATGTCATCTATTATGCTAGTAAGACCCTGAACGAAGCCAAACACCACTGAGAAATAATTGTTGGCGATAGTGTTCTCTTTTGACAAATTCCGCTCTTATTTGATCTTATCTAAGGTCATCATTTATACCAAACATGCAACGTTGAAGCATTTTCTCTCCAAGAAAGATGCCCAACCTAGTTGATACACTGGATCCTACTCCTTCAAGAGTTTGACCTTGAGATCCGTGATAAGAAAGGCTCATCGAATGTAGTCGCTGATTATTTTTCTCCGTCTTGTTGATTCGATTAGCAACTCCCTTCCTATCTCTAATTATTTCCCTGATGAGCAACTTTTTGGGGTATCTCATGCACCATGGTATGCCGATATTGTCAATTACATTGTGACTGGTCAAATCCATTCTACTTGATCGAAGCAAGAGAGATAAATTCCTAGCTAAGGTTAAGGAATATTTTTCAGACAACCACAACTTGTTTAAGTATTGTCTAGATCAAATAATCCGTAGGTGTGTCCCCAAGGTAGACCAAGAGTCTGTTATTTCCTTCTGTCATGATGAGGCATGTAGCCATTTTAGCTCCAAAATGACCACTGCAAAAATCTTACAATCGGGATTTTAGTTGCCCAACCTTTTTAAGGACACCCACATCTACTGTCAAACTTTTCCTAAATGCCAACTGTTAGGTAAGATTACCAAACAGAATGACTAGCCCCAACAACCCATTCTATTTTATTGGCCCACCCTTTTAAGTGTTGATGTATTCTCCTATGGGGTTGTCTACAAGTTTTACCATCGTTTTCTAAGTGAATGCGATATTGCACCACTAAAAGACTAATGCCTTTGATATCATCAATGGACCAACCTATGGCTTCCCTATTTGCCTTAAGAAACTCAAGTAGTTGGGTTTCAAGAGCTCAGTTAAGTCAGAAGCTATTACCACAAAAAAGTATCAGCCTCACCCAGGTACGAGTATTTTAAAGAATCATATATAGGCGTTAATTTGACCTTAAGGGGTTTCTTCACCTCGTCAGATTCAGTGGCATATGGCGAAGACAATGATTAAAACTTAGGCAGATAGTTGGGCGTTTCAAAGATTAGAGTGATAGCTAAAAATGCATTGACTTCACTAATGTAACTATCCTCATCAAAATCAGCACCAAAATATGCTAGACACTACTTGAGTGGATCCTCAAGGTAGGAGTGCTCAATGGTGTGAGCTGCCAAGGACAATGATACAGACCACTTCAATGGAATCTGAGTCGAGGCTGTTTCATCAGGCTAAACACATGGACTTCCACTTTCATATTACCTAAGGACAAGGTCATGTTACCATTTCAACAGTTGATTAATGCATTAGTGGTAGCTAAGAATTGTCAACCTAAACTGATTGGAATCTGCTTACCCTGAGTGGGTTGGGTATCTAGCACAATGAAGTCTATAGGGTAATAAAAATCAGCCACTTTGACAATCACATCCTTAATTCTACCCCTTGTAATCTTAACTGATCGATCGGCTAATTGAATTCTAACATTGATTTTCCTCAAATTATTCAACCTTGGTAGACTGAATAAAGGAAACAAGTATACACTAGCACCTAGATCCAACAAGGCTTCATCAGCATAATTTTCTCCAATCCTACAAGTGATAGTTGGACTTCCGGGTTCTTTATGTTTGACAATGGCTTGATTTTGTAGGAAGGAGGAACAATGTTGGGCTATGAAGGCTTCTTTAAGGATGTTGATTTTTCTTTTGACAGTCTTTGATGAATTTTACATAGGAAGGTATTTGTTTAATGGTAGTGAGAAATTATATATTAATCTAAACATTTTGAAAAATCTCTAATATCTCACTATATTGCAAATCCTTTTTTATTGTCGACTAGTCTAGTAGGAAAAGGTGCAGGGGAACATATGGCTGAATAGTTTCAGGACCTTAGTCTTTCTTGGCTTTGGGAGGGTTTGATGGATGAAACTTTGATCGTGTAGTCTATTCTTGGGTTGGTGGCTCAACCTTGTTATCTATTTACTTTCCTGACCCAAGTGTTGTGATGGAATTCACATAGCCATTTGATTGATTAGTGATAGAGGAAGTTTCTATGTGATTAACCCCTTTGCCTTTAGGGTTGATTTCAGGTTGGCTAGGCAAGGTACCCCTCTGCCTTTCAAACAGAACATTTTGGATCGACTATTGAAATTGCAGTTGGTTTTGAGTAAAGAGGTCAAAATGACTCTCTAACTTTTGAATTTTTTGATTGGATTGCTTTTAGATTGGTTAAGATTAAGTTCAAGTATCTTAAGAGTGTCCTCATAGTTGAAAACAAGTTGCATCTGTGAGGCAAGAGAAATGTAATTGCTTATGGAATCAAGTACTACATCTTTGTTACTTAACTGGTTGGTCGATGGGAACTGACCTTTAAGGAACAAGTAATCTTTAAGGTTGTGGTTGCCTATTGGAGTTACCTTGGAAACTGAGTGGACCACCTAAGTTTGTGGAGGCAAATTTTGTCTCCATGAAAAGTGTGATGGTTTCTAGTATCAGGATGGTAAGTTTGGCTAAAGTTATTAGCCGTTGGTCTCCAACATGTATTAAAGGCACACACTTGTGCATCTGAACGTTCAGATGAATCAATGGGTTGAGATGAACTAGAACACACATTGCATTGCGCACGTATGGACATGAGCACAAAAGCATCAAACTTTTTGCCCAAGTCTTTCACTCATTCGGCTAGACTTTGCATCACAAATTTTAATTCATCTTCAGGCTTGATCTCATTTAGACTAGATTTTCTATTAGTTTGGTCATTTTAGAAAATTCATCATCAGAAGTGTTCCAATTCCAATTTTGGGCATTCTCAGTTAGTTTCTCTAAAAATGTGTAGGCTTGGTCAAGGGTTTGTGCCTTGAGTGCATAAACTTGACCATGGTTCGGTTCATAGGTGAAAGCCCCTTATAAAAAATTTGGACTAGTCGTGCTTTATCAAAGCCATGGTGTGGGCATTTGAGAAGCAAATCGTGAAAGCGCTCCCAAGTTTGGTGAAACTGTTCATCATTTTTCCCTTTAAAAGTATAGAATCTCTCATTGGCTTGGTCTTTTACATGGGACAAAACTTGCTCATAACTTTCTTTGCAAGTTCATCCCATAATCTAATAAAATTTGGAGGGATGGAGTTTAGCCATGAGGCAATCTTATCTCCTAGGGATAGGGGGAAAAGATGCAATTTGATACCCTCTTCATCCAAATTCTGGTTTTGGAAAGTGTTACAAAATAGGTAAAAACTTTCCTAAATGGATATAAGATTTATCTCACTTTCAAATCCGTAGAATTTGGGTAACAGACTGATTGTAGCGGGCCTAATCTCAAACCGGGCCGCAGTATTCTCAGAGAGAACAATGCAATTTGGTGGGTTGGCTGTGATGTTTGCAAATTAGTCATTCAAGGTCCTAGGTGCAACCATTAGATAATGAGTAGTGGTTGAACAGAGTAAGGGCCTGTTTGATTTCCTTATTCAGCGCTGAATGCAGTATACGGTAAGTGATTTTTAAAAATAAGTTTGTTTGATAAATTTTAGAACACCACTTAACATGGTAAGTACCGTTTAAAAGAGGCCAAAATTTTAAGCGTTAGGAATGTTACTTATTGCATATCGCAGAAGACGGTAAGTGGTTGGGTTTAAAAAATAACTTTTTAATGACTACTTTACCCTCATATAATTGTGTTCTATCTTTTAGGGTTTCTCTCTACCTAATATATTTTAAACACGTATATAGCCTTTTGGTTACCATTTATATTGATTCATTATAGAAAACAATTATTTATATAACAAAATTCTATTCAATTTCACGTACTTTCTTTAATATTTTTAACACCATTTTTATACCTTACATAAATATTTTGTAATTATTTATATAATAGAATTTAATTTTCATAGAATAATTGTCTTTCACGTACTTTCTTAACACTCTTTGCAATACCCTATAATCCAAAACCCATATATTTTAAATTTTATTTTCTTTAATCTTTTGTAACATTCATTTTGATATCCAAAACCTATATATTTTAAATTTTTATTAATTATTTATATAATATAATAATAATAATAATTATTATTATTTTTTTTTAGTAATCGTGGGTGTCCAGACCAGCTTTTGCGCACCCCGACTAATCCCACGAGGCCCTGAAAATATATAATAGAATTATGTTCCTAGATAAGAATTCTTTTTCATTTTCCTTAATTTTTGTGACCCATTTGTTAATATCCTACATAAATATTATGTAATTCAAAACACATATATTTTAAATTTTACTTTCTTTAATTTCTGTAACACCATACCTACATAAATGTTATGTAATCCAAAACCGATAGATTTAAAATTTCCATCAGTTATATATATAATAGAATTTTATTCCTAAATAAGAATTATTTTTCAAGTATTTTCTTTAATCTTTGTAACACCCTTTTCAATACCTTACCTAAATATTATTCAATCCAAAATCATATATTTTAAATTTTACTTTCTTTAATCTTTGTAACACCCTTTTCGATACCATATATAAATATTATGTAATATAAAATTCATATATTTTAAATTTTCATATTTATTTATTTCATTGAGTGAATGTGATTGTTTTATTAATATTTTTGTATTATAAATATAAAACTGTTATGAGTATTAGATATTGAGGGCAAAAATGTAATATGTACAACTTTCAGACTTCAGCTTTTGTTAATAACAAACAATCTTAATGAATTCAGCATTTAAAATTAAAATGTTATCAAACAAGTTTTCAAATTAATACATTCAGCACTTAAAGTTTTAGCGCTTAAAATTCAGTACTTGAAATTTTTAGTGCTTAATTTTCAGTTTTATCAAACAGCACCTAAGAGAGTGATATGAGTCTTCTCCAAATCAAAGGACTGAAGAATCACTAGAACACCAAACTAAGCGTTTGTTCACCCGTAACCACTTGGGCATAAATGCATACACAACTAGTAATTTTTTTTTTATTTTAAAAAAAAAAAAAAAAAAACCTTATATAGTTTGTGCACAGGTTAAGATGTGGCCCATTGAAATGCATTAGGTTTGCTCTTGCCACTTGGTGGCAACAGGAGAGTTCACGTACACAACTAAAAGCTAGGCTCAAACACTTGAAAGCACAGGACAAGTCGAGTAAACTTGAAGAATAAATAAAGCTAAGATTTGAGCCAATGGATTTACAAATTATGTCAGTATACCACATGTATATATGCCAATCCTATAAAAATTCTAGACTCAAACTTTAAAGCACGGGAGTAAGGATAAGCCAAGTATAGGGATGGCAACGGGGCGGGAACACCATCCCCATCCCTGTTTAGCATAACTACCCTCATCCTCATTAAAAACTGTTTATTAAACGGGGCGGGCGAGGCGGGGATGGGATGGGTTTTGTAGAGTATTTTCGTCATTGTATTCAGAATCTAACGAAAGTAAATAATGAAATAAATTTTCAACTATGGTAATATATATATTTTTGTCTTATGCGGATAAAAACAAGATTTATCTTCTCAATTCACTTGAGACTTAATTTTATTGTAGGAACACCAGAATAATATACACAGAAGTTCTCAAATAAGAACAATACAAAGAGATATTTAGTGATTGAAATAGAATAAATTAGAATTTGCTTAATATATACCTAATATTATTGAATATAAAATGAAGTGTAAGGACAAAATTGTAATTTATCATAGTAAACGGGATGGTGTGGGGCCATCCCTGCCCCATAACCATGTGGGTCTTCAATCCTAAACCCCATCCCCGCCCCAAAACAATTTAACCACCCCCATAACCATTCTAAACGGCTCGCAGTGGGGCGGGTACCTGACGGGGCGGGGTATTTTGCCATCCCAAGTAAAATTAAAATATGAGTGGTTTAATCCACCAAACTTGTACGATGTCTTTATTCCTAGCACAACCATATTAGTTTTGGTCTATTCATTCCCCTAGCATTACCACCAATGTGGAACACATCACTCTCCCCCATTGATGTAGTTATTGGATTTCACCACATGGCCAAACTTATTTGTGTCTATTTCTCATACAAATATAATCATTTCTAGATTTGTTATTCTCCATCCTATCATAAATTACCCTCTCCTCAACATCCACATTTCGCCTACTATACCAAACTGTTTGTGTCTATTTCTCATACAAATACAATCATTTCTAGATTTGTTATTCTCCATCCTATCATAAATTACCCTCTCCTCAACATCCACATTTCGCCTACCATTTTACGAACATGAGCAGAAAACATCAAGGCAAAGAAGACAACTGGGAGTGACATATAAAGTCAAATTTCATAGTTCTATTTATCTTCTCCAGGTTTGCACTTTCTTGTGCTGCTGAAGTTTCGGATCAAGTGATCAACTACCCTTTCTTGATCTTCAGTAATTGCATAGTTGAATATATATACAATCAGCAACTAATGCTTGAAGATATGGGAACCCATTATAAAGAATTTAACATGCAAAGACTCATTTCCAATTATAAGATTCCCAGCTTATTATGTTTGTGATAAGACACGCCAGAAAATTTAAACATAAATCTCCAACAGCATGCCAAGGTTCATTTAAGCAGATCTTGCAGCAATCATTTTAAGCATTGTATTCAACATGGATTATTTCAATGATCTGAGTTTCATGATAGATAAAGAATCACAACATGTTCCTAAGAATATTTACTATACAGAACCGAAGGTGACAGAAGAGCGTATATATTTGCCCAATCCCAGGTTTCTCAAAGCAAGCAGTTCAACAATAAGCCAAATGCAAAATTCTAACGCTGTGCAAGCCATTAAATGTACCAAACGAAAACTGAGAGAAAAGTATGTGCACTTACCAAATTCTATGCCTCTTGTAACAAGTGATTCCCGAAATGAGTCAAATGCAACATTCTGCAAAAACAAGTTTAAGATTTCTAAATTATAAATCAATGACAATTCTACAATAAAGAAGTATGCATAGTGTTGCTATTCAGCAACAATATATTTAATATTAGTACTACTAAATTTGTCAATGAAACATCAACAATACAATCCATGTAAATGGTTATTTCATTAATATATAACAACTGACACATAGGTCACTGCTTGTTGTTAGGGCTGCAAATGAACCGATCTCTTCATGAACAACTTGGGCTTGGCTCGGGCTCGTTTGTGAAGTACATGAGCCGAGCTTGAACACATTTTTTAGGCTCATTTGGTAAACAAGCTGAGCTTGAACAATGTTGAGCTCAGCTTGTATGGTTAAACGCCCATTTTTAAATATATTTTTTTAAAACTCTTATATACAATAGTTGGTATAAATTCAGCCCAAACTCATACATCTTTTGTAAGCCAAACTCCTTTACTCATTGTAAGCCCAAACTCTCATACATTCTCTCTCTCTCCGGAAACAAGTCTCCAACAGAGATCTCTCTCTCATGTCTCTCACTCCCGTTATAGTGTTTGTTGATGCAGGATTCCGCAGCGACCCGAAGCGACGTTGAACCTGGAAACGAAAGGAGAAAAAGGATGATCGAGAGGGCACCAATGTGGTACTAGCCTAAGAGCCTTTGACGATCAAGTTAGTACTAGATCGGTAAAGGGGAGAGAGAGAGAGGTATTGCTTAGGGACTTGTGTCGTACCTTTTCTGTTGACCCTAACGCCCCCTTTATAGAGGTGTCAAGTTGGCATTAAAATAGGAGTGTTATACCTTTTACTTCTCCAACACGGAGGGGGAACTTATGCTCATCTTTATCCGAGACACTTGGAGTTTATCCTAATTTATAGACTTGTATAACGGTCAAACTCCCTGGATGAAAACTCCTTATCAATTGCCCCCCATTCTCGTGTTTGCAAGTCGAACATAGAGAATGTAAATATTATGTCTGGAGTTATCCTTCACCTTGACATATTTATTAACTGGGTCAATCAGTAGAGATAGATAGCATATACATATTTTATTTGCCGAATAAATACACGAGGCTCATGCAGCCCACATAGTTAGAGCCTCTTACTACTATGCCAGAGGTCTTTGGTTCAAACCCCCTTCTAGCACCACCAAAATCCTCTTTTTAATTAAATGAGTAATCTTGCAGGAGGAGGCTGCCACGTGGCAGCGGCGGAGGCTGACATGTATTGATGCCGGAGGCTGCTGCGGGGATATATGTGGCTGGCATACTAATGGAGTATGGTGACTGGCATTGTATGTTCAGAAATCAAATAAGTTAGACTAAAGAGTAGACTAAATGGTGGGAATCAATGTACAGGCAGGAATCAAATAAAGTAGGTAATTTGAAGAATCAAATTAAAGATATGAAGCATCCAACAAAGCTGACCGTGGTAGACAACAGAGCAACATGCTTCAAAAGCAGTCAAGGCAACTGCACACCTTCATCATTTTTTTATTTTTAATTTTTTAAATTTTATATATCACATTTTCTCCTTATTTAAGGAAGGGAAGAACATTACTCTTGCTATCTTCATAATCCTAAAGGTAAACTTCCTTTCTCTATACTATTCTTCGACTATTTGTAATGGACACTATCAATTTTTTTGATAAGTAATGGACACTATCAATGTAAACATGGGAGACAACGTCCAGTCTTCTATTTCGGAATCTGATCTGATAAAATTTCCGATTCGTGTACTCCATTCCTTTTTGTATTTCTATCCGTGCTCCCTTTCCCTAAGAAAGAGCTTCTGAGGCCCCAAATGGTGAACTCTGTCGCTTTGAGTGCGCCTTTCTTGCTGGGTTACACCTACCCTTTCCCCCTTTTATTAGGGAATTTTTCTCCTTCCTCCGTATTACACCCGGACAACTTACTCCAAATGCCTGGAAGATTTTAATAGGGTGTGTTGTCTTATGGAAGGCGTGTGGCAACCCTCCTTTAACTATGAGTGAGATATTACCTTGTTATATTCCGAAGAGGGTAAATCGATGGTGATGGAACCTAACCAGCCGATGTGAGTGTCCCTTAGTTGAGGGACTATCCAAATCCAATTCGGAGTGGAGAAGCCGTTTCTTCTTTGTCTCAGGAAGGAACTGGGAATTTTCTTACCAAGATACTAGTGTCGACCTAAAGCTTCACCGTTCCCCTAACTTGGGGTCAATTAGACCTCAATGGTGAGTTACTTATGCATGCACATTTTATTACATGGTAAATGACATCTACTTCTTTTTGCAAGTTTTCGCCCGTCGTCTGCTCCCCCCGAGGCAAAGAAAAATATAAACAAAGCCACTCTGCATTCATCGATGCATTCATCAAGGTCTTTCTCCTCTTTGGTAGCCCATCTCCCTCTTCTCTGCTAGACTTTGTCGTGTGGTAAGGATTTCTTCTTGTCAAGCCTCTACAGAAGATATGACTCTTTATGACTCCCACTTTGTATGACTCTTTTTTTTTACTTTTTTTTTTTTTTCATGACTAAGTTCACTTTTTCTCACTTAGATTCACTCACTATGTCGTCGGCGCGAAGATTTGGGAAGGACATTCTTGCCCAGGTTTAAGAGGAACGCTCTAAAAACAAAGCCTCGCCACAGGGCTCCGATTCACCCCCGTCAACAAGGAGATTTGGGAATGACATTCTTTCCCAGGTTCAGGGGGAGTGTTAAGGAAAAGACTTCGTCACGGTATCCCAAGAGAACTCGACCACTCCAAAACCAAGGGAACTCTCTCCTGCTGACGACTCGCCTTCCCTCGTAGTCCCTCATGACCAGATCTTCGAGATGGGAGTGCACCTCCCTCCTACTGGCCCATCCGTTGTGAATGACGTGACTTATGCCAATGACATGGTGGATCAGGTGCTAGTGCTTCCATATGATTCTGAGAGGCTCAAGGGACTTCTCACCAAGGACCTTTCATACTTTTAGGCCCAGAATGTTTGTCGGGTAAGGTTATCTTGCTTCCTCTTACCCTTAATTATTACGGAGTATTTATTATTATTAAGGTATTTTTTTTAAAACCTAACCTCTCATGTAAATAATTCTATTTTCCCACGTAGATGGGGGCATATGCTAAAGAGCTATCTCGACACGCCAAGCTCTCCAAGGAGAGTGCACTTGCCCTGGACGCGGAATTGCAGCTGAAAAGAAGACTCGCAAAGAGGTCAAAATCGGTTGGGCTTTAGAGAAAGAGAGGCTCGAGAGGAGCTTCCTTGGTAGATTAGCCATTGCAAAATCTTCAGTCGTGGAGGAGTACAAGTTCTCCTCTAAATTTGACTTGAACAATGCAAATTGGTATTCTAACGGATTTGACGAGTTCAGACACTGAGCCAATGCTGCCTATGAAGACTTGGATTTCCATCATTTTCGGCCAATTGCTCCTGCAGATCGGAGTCAAGGAGGACCGCGCCAAGGAGGACCAAGCCAGGGAAACCCAAGCCAGTGGGCATTATCTACTATGCTGTGAATGTGTGAATGTCGTTATTAAATTTCCTTTTGAACAATGTTTGTTACTGTTATAAGTATGGACCTTTAAGTTTCTTCGACTAGGGTGATATTATTATTTTTTTCTTTTTAGAACTCCATCAGCACACCTTCTCTTCTTAACCCATTTAATGCAAGTCATTCGAGTATATATCCCTTATAGTACAAGGATAAGGATTACGTGATTCATTCATCCTGAGTCCTTAAGTGCGAGGAAGTAAGATAACCTTATTCGACAAACATTCTAAGCCTGAAAGTATGAAAAGTAGCACCTGATCGACCAGGCATAAGTCACATCATTCACAACGGATGTGCCAGGTAGATGGGGTAAATGCATCTAGAGGGAGGTGCATTCCCATCTCGAAAATATGGTCGTGGGGACTACGAGGGAAGGCGAGCCGTCAGTCGGAGAGGGTTCCCTTGGTTTTGGAGTGGTTGAGTTCTCTTAGGATACCGAGACGAAGTCTTCTCCTTAGAACGCTCCTCCTGAACCTGGGAAAGAATGTTACTCCCAAATCTCCTTGTTGACGGGGTTGAATCGGAGCCCTGTGGCGAGGCTTTGTTTTTAGAGCGTTCCTCCTGAACCTGGGGCAAGAATGTCCTTCCCAAATCTCTGCGTCGACGACATAGTGAACTTAGTCATTAAAAAAAAAAAAAAAGTGTCATACAAAGTGGGAGTCATAAAGAGTCATACCTTCTGTAGAGGTTTGACAAGAAGAAATCCTGACCACGTGACAAAGTCCAGCAGAGAAGAGGGAGAGTGGGGTTACCAAAGTGGAGAAAGACCTTGACGAATGCAGAGTGGCTCTGTCTATATTTTTCTTTGCCTCAGGTGGAGCAGACGACGGGTGAAAACCTACAAAAAGAAGTAGATGTCATCTACTATGTAATAAAACGTGCATACATAAGTAACCCACCATTGAGATCTAATTGACCCAAAGTCTGGGGAACGGTGAAGCCTAGTTCAACACGGGTATCTTGGTAAGAAAATTCACAATTCCTTCCTGAGACAAAGAAGAAACGGCTTCTTCACTCCGCATTAGATTTGGATGGTCCATCAACTAAGGGACATTCACATTGACTGGTCTAGTTCCACCACCATCGATCTACCATCTTCGGAATATAACAGAGTCGGATCTCGCTCATAGTTAAGGAAGGGTTGCACACGCCTTCCATAAGACAACATACCCTATTAAAACCTTCCAGGCATTTGGGGTAAATTGTCCGGGTGTAATACAGAGGAAGGAGAAAAATTCTCTAATAAAAGGGGGGAAAGGGTAGGTGTAACCCAGCAAGAAAAGCGCACTCAAAAAGACAAAGTTCACCATTTGGAGCCTCGGAAGCTCTTTCATGGGGAAAGGGAGCACAGACAGAAATACAAGAAGGAATGGATTACACAAATCAGAAATTTATCTAATCAGATTCCGAAATAGAAGACTGGACGTTGTCTCCCATATTTACATTGATAGTGTCCATTACAAAGAGACGAAGAACAGTATGAGAGAAAGGAAGTTTACTTTTAGGATTATGAAGATAGCAAGAGTGATGTTCTTCCCTTCACGGTCCTTAAATAAGGAGAAAAGGTGATTTATAAAAATAAAAAAATTTGATGAAGGCGTGCAGCTGCTTTGACTGCTTTTGAAGCATGTTGCTCGGTTGCCTACCACGGTAAGCTTTGTTGGATGCTTCATAGCTTTAATTTGATTCTTCAAATTACCTACTTTATTTGCTTTTACTTTATTTGATTCCCGCTTGTACATTGATTCCCACCATTTAGTCTACTTTTTAGTCTACTTTAATTGATTTCTGAACATACAATGCCAGCCAGCATACTCCAATAGTATGCTAGCCACATATCGCCACGTGGCGGCCTCTTCCTGCAAGATTCCTCCTTTAATTAAAAAGAGGATTTTAGTGCTAGAAGGGATTTGAACCCAAGACCTCTGGCATAGTAGTAAGAGGCTCTAACCATGTGGGCTACATGAGACTAATGTGTATTTATTCAGCAAATAAAATATGTATATGCTATCTCTACTGATTCACCTAGTTAAATATGTCAGGGTGAAGGATAACTTAAGACATAAATATTTACATTCTCTACGTTTGACATATAAACACGAGAATGGGGGGCAACTGATAAAAAGTCTTCACCCAGGAAGTTTGACCATCATACAAGTCTATAAATTAGGATAAACTCCAAGTGTCTCGGATAAAGATGAGCATAAGTTCTCCCTCCGTGTTGGAGAATTAAGAGGTATAACACTCCTATTTTAATGCAACTTAACAACTCTATAAAGGGGGCTTAACATAAAAAGTACAACTCAAGTCCCTAAGCAATACCTCTCTCTCTCTCCCCTTTACCGATCTAGTACTAACTTGATCGTTGGAAGCTTTTAGGCCGGTACCACACCGGTACCCTCCCGATCATCCTTTTTCTCCTTTCTTTTCTAGGTACGACGTCGTTTCGGATCGCCGCGGAATCCTGCATCAACAGTTGGCGCCGTCTGTGGTATCGGCCGATCTAGTACTAACTTGATCGTCTGAGGCTCTTAGGCCGGTACCACACCAGTGCCCTCCAGATGATCCTTTTTCTCCTTTCTTTTCCAGGTACAACGTCGCTTCGGGTCGCCGCGAAATTCTACATCAACAGTTGGTGCCGTCTGTGGTACCGGCCGATCTAGTACTAACTTGATAGTCTGAGGCTCTTAGGTCGGTGCCCTCCCGATCATCCTTTTTTTCCTCTCTTTTCCAGGTACGACATCGCTTCGGGTCGCCGCGGAATCCCGCATCAACAGTTGGCACCGTTTGTGGGAAAGAAAGGAGAAAAAGGATAATTGGGAGGACACCGTTGTGGTACCGGCCTAGGGACTTGTGTCGTACCCTTTCTGTTGACCCGAACACCCCCTTTATAGAGCTGTCAAGTGCATTAAAATAGGAGTGTTATACCTCTTACTTCTCCAACACGGAGGGGGAACGTATGCTCATCTTCATCCGAGACACTTGGAGTTTATCTTGATTTATAGACTTGTATGGCAGTCTGAGTGAAGACTCCTTATCAGTGTTGATGGAATCATTATTGCCGACTCGCCGTTGTCTTCTTGAGGAAGATGATCGGAAATGGGAGGTCAGCGAAAGAGAGGACAACGATTTTCCTCCTTCTTCGAATACATCACTGTACAGATCTGAATCTCTTCGATTTTTTATTTTATTTATCAATATTTTTTTGTATGTTGTTAACTATGTAGGTGAGCTTGAGCCGAGCCCGAACAAGGTAAAGCTCGAGCCGGAACAAGGTAAAGCTCAAGCTCGAGCCCGAACGTATGTCCTATTTGTTCGATAATGAGTGGAAGTACTCATTTGCAGCCCTGCTTGTTGTGCACTATTGCTTGAAGCAATGGTACTTCCAAGAGCAAGAAGCTGAGTTAAGATCTGAGAATTGTCGAACTGAGCAAATTTATACTGAAGGAAGGGTTTGTGTCCAGGCTACCCTTCCTATCATCCTTCATAGATGGGACTAACACTAGTTAATGACCACGTTCCTATAACAAATGAGAAATATCAATAGTGAGTCAGACTTTTGAATAGATTCTTGATAACAACATCACAAAATCTGGATCATATTTTCTAAGATGGGCCAGAAATGGTGAGAAATTTTACCATCTACGTTTTAAGCTCCTACCTTTTGTATAAAATTCCAATATTCACACATACTTCTTGTGATAATCCAGTCCCAACTGAGTGATAAATGGAATCATATCCAAAGCTGATACCCATGTTCAATTTGAGGTCATCACTATTTGATACTGAGATTCTGAAGAGAAGTCCGCTTAAAGAGGAACTATTGGGCTCTCAATGTAGAGCAGAAGTTTCATTGCAAGCTAGAACTCAGAAAAGGCCTGAAAGATAAAATATATGCGTATATAGAAGAAATAAAAAATGAAATAAACTACATGTAAACATGTGAACGTCAGGATATTTCAGTGAGAAGACAAGACCAACAATAATATTGGTATACTTTGTGAATTTCACTACTGCAAGCTGAATATTTGAAACATTTTATAAACAAACATTTTAATAGCACCAAGTGAACACAAATAATTTGGCGGGAAAAAAGTAAAGCTTACCTGACCAAAATGAAGCAAGCTGTGACTGTAGAGATTGTAAGTGATATTCCCATATTTAACTATATGAGAGAATTCAGGGGGCACTGGCTCACTTGAAATGAAGGTCACCTGAAATAACAGTTATTTCAATCATTCACATTGACAATCACGTCTTATGCTTTCCAACAGTATTAACTACACAAAATTGTTTTAAGTCATTTCAAAAAAAAAAAAAAAAACACTGAAACAGAAAGAATAGAATGATTTATTGGTTGAGGTACCATATTTCTATCAGCATACAAAACTTTAGCTCTTTAACTGGTTCTCAAGGTGAAAGCACCAAAAAGCACTCCACCCAGTAGACTCTGCTTTTAACAGCATCCAATATCTTGAGATGCTGTTCATCTACCTCAGGAAGAAGCGAAATATGGAGCTCCGACTATTCTAAGTGCAAAATGAACAATGTAGGTCTCCAAAATTGAGTATGCTTGGAGATCTTCCATATGTTCCATGAGAAATTGCTGTCCAAAAGTTTAGGCCAATAATTTTTTCTAGATATGTATCCTACCAGAATATGTTACACTGGTCCATGTCCATGTCCCACGTAATATGATCCACATTTTTCACAAATACAATCCACCAACAAAAAAGGAAAAGGAAAAGGAAATTGAACCTGAGCAGAGGCCCCACCAAGTTCAATAATCCCAGTTGTTTGATGAGGATCCTGTCCAAGAGTGCCAAGGGCATAATTTGCAACAACCCAAGCATAAATCCCTTCATCAGAGCCTAAAATAATCAAAATGCCTAACATTAAGCTTATAGATTGTGTAGTATTAAATCAAATTACAATGAACCAAGGGATGTTATGAAAAAAATTCAAGAGGTTCAAACTACCAGAGAGAGAGAGAGTAACCACCAAAAGGCTATCAACCAAAATTAAACAAATGTCACCACACACCAATACAAGCAATTTTATATAAAAATAGATAAAAGTACAAATAGAAATACTAGTGCACGTATGTGTTTCTACATATGTGAGCACAAAAAAGATGTAAAGAGTATCCATGCAAGTGTTGGACATGTCACTCTCAAATAAAATGGGAAAAAAAAAAAATCAAGGTTGTTAAAATCGGGATTCTACCTAGAATCGTTTTGGGCTTCGTAGAATCGGAATCGTAGAATCGGATCGAGAATCGTAAGATTCTACCAACTAGTAAAAAAAACAGTTCAAACTAACTTCTTAAATACTATCTAAGTACTAAGTTACTAACTACTAGGCTAATTTAGCTAATTACTAACTTACATGAAAGAACTGTGTTTTTTTTTTTGTCCAATCACTGTATTCCAATCATCATATTCATCCAAAAAAAGAACACTAGAACAGAACAGAAGCAAGATGTGTTCTAATAAAGGAGTGCACAGACTTGATTGATTCATAATTTCAAGTAAAACATTGCAATACAGAAGTTTGGTTTGATTTGAGGGAGTTAATCTGGGCGGATAACAGTCCCTTCAGAACCAAAAAAAAAAAAAAATTGAACAAAAAAAGAAAGAAGAGAACAGATTCAATCATTCAACAGAAGCAGAACAAAAAAAAATATCTGAACAAAAAAATGAAGTAAGGAACAAATTTCAATCATCATATTCAGAAAAATGAACAAATATCAGAAAAAAAAAAAAGAAAAAAAGAAAAAAAAGAAAAAAGAAAAAAGAAAAAGAAGTACACCTTTTGAGTTTGAGTGATGTGAGAAGTCTGTTGAAGAGAGTGTCAAACTGTCAACCAAATCGAGGTCGAAGAGCAAGCAAATGAGTTTGAGTGCCTAATTGAAGCTATCCATGTCGATTGAAGTCTGTCGAGGAGCCAGCGATGTCGAACAGAAGCCAACTTGTGGAGAAGAGATGACTTCTCGAGAAGCCAACGATATCGAGACTCAAGAGAAGAGTAGAAGAGAGCTACGGGTTGTGTGACTTGTGTCGCGATGTGTTTGAGACGAGAGAAGAGTAGAAGAGAGGCGAAAGCAACGGGTTGTGTTGTGATGCAGAAAATTAGGGCTTCGGATTTGAGTTGTAATGCTATATTGCTGTTTTGGGCCACGCCTTTGTTTTTTCAGAAGCCCAACCATAAAAAAAAAGTGAACAGGGCCATAAATTTAGCCCAAGAAAGGAATAAGTCAGAATCGGGTTAAGTTGCTAGAACCGTACGATTCTGCGATTCAAGGCCCAATTCTACCGATTCTGGGGTGATTCAAGCACTGTTTGCAATTTGGATCGATTCTGTGGCTGGGATCGTAGAAGTTTGCAATTTTTATGCGATTTGGATCGATTATGTGGCTGGATCATAGAATCGTGCGATTCTACGACCTAGAATCGCGATTTTGATATCCTTGAAAAAAAACTGCATGACATCCATCATACAATTATATATCCTATCAATGTTTCTCCCTGTTTTAGTGACCTTCTAAGATCAATTTAAGTTAGCACAAGCATCTAAAATCTCCCTCAATTTGGATATAAAACAAAAACAATTTGAAAAAAAGGATAAAATAAAATAAAATACAATGCGACTCCAATTCCTATCTAACCTAAACCTCCCACCTATGAAGCATGGATGCTCCTGTAAGGAGCCTTATCCGTATCATATCAGGATCAAATACCGATACCCTTATATAATCGTGGATATGTTTCCAATACTTCCTAATGTATCCGAAATTTTAAAATAATTTTTTTATTTCAAACATTTATCTAATACTTCTCACATAAGCCATACACAACCAACAATCTTGAACATTAAAATGTAAATTTTCTAAACATAGTATCATACTATAATTGTTAGCAAAAGCATAACAATAGTTCCAACTTCCAAGCACTCAAGACATTCTTTAAAAAGGAAAATAATAATAATAATAATAATAATAAAATTGAGACATAATGAGAATAGCTAATTTTGTCCAGGGTTCATGTCTGTGCAACATAACTCTCTGCTTAGAAAAAGGTTCATTACCTAGTCTGGGTGCTGGGAGAAGTGAAATGGATACAAACCTAACATTTGGCATCACCTACACAAAGCGACTGCTCTCAGGATTTGAATCTGGTTTCACACTTGAGAGCCCAACATTTACCAGTACAAAACAATGACACCTAAAATATTGTTCATCATATGTATATTATATATATATATATAATACAGAACTGCTAGTTATATATAGCATGGCAAACAATTGTTATTTTAAATTTATACATACATATAAAAATATGTTATTTATACATTTATACACAAATGTATACATGCATATGTATTGTTGTGTCCTCATCGTATCAGTTTCTTGTAGTTTTTTTTATAGAGAACTTGTCACATTGCCATGTTCATCCCATGTCAGGTTCATGCTTCATCATCTCCCACATATATTATGTGATTTCAATTAGAATATAACACCTACTTGAGGTAATTATATCCAACATTCAGATACATTATATATATATTTTTAATATAGTAATTGTTTGGATAGATACAAATCGAAGAATTTGAGAATTCTTTTCCATGATAAGGGTTCTCTAAGTTGATATAAAAAGGTATGTGTGGCAAATTCTATGAGCATAAGTACATTAAAGAAACTTCAGCAGCCTACAAGCTATGTTAGACTTCGAATTTTGGTGCTAAAGCCAACAATCTGGTAACAGGATGGTACCAGGTGGGTTTGCTGCTGCTGTCATGTGGTTGTTTTGATTTATTTAAAGAATTTGTAGGAGCATGTAATATGTAATGTAGTAAATTTTACTTTTATAATATTAACTGGTGAGGTCAAGCCCCTAATGTCGTCCCCAGCCAGGATATGGTTTGTCCCCTATTGCTATTTCTCTTTGATTCGATATAAAATTTTATTTACTGGGCAAATATATACACACACAACACAGGTATTCCATTTCTAGGTTCTACAACAAAACAAGATGCTAAAAGCTTGTTCAATTTTTTTTTTTCTTATTCAATCTTCAATTCTAGTAATATTGAATGTCATTAATTGGTCAAACTAGACACTGCAATTTTACCTCGCATTTGCCACTATCTACATACTAAAAAGGAGCACTAGCATTGATGTCAAAATCAGCCAGCAAAGGAAATGCATAAAACACATTTGGTTCAATCATCACATACTAAAAAGGAGCACTAGCATTGGTGTCAAAAATCAGCAAAGGAAATGGATAAAACACATTTGCCACTATCACATACTAAAAAGGAGCACTAGCATTGATGTCAAAAATCAACAAAGGAAATGCATAAACCAAACACCATAATTAAGTTAAAAGTTAATATGAAAACTTTCATACCCGTAATAACTGAAGCCCAATCATCTCCAAACTTAAACCCAGACGACCTCAGAACCCTCCGGCAAGACTCCAAAATCTGCTCCTGAACACCCAACTCCAGCATCCTCAGCCCCGCCGTCCCCATAAGCCGAATCTCCGTCTCCCCCCAATGCTCCTTCGGAATTCTCTTCCTCCCAAACTCCAGCAGATCCACCAAAGACCCACCCGCCCCTCCCGGATCATCCATATAGGCCGACAACCCGGGAATCACCCGCATTGATGCCAACCCATTTTCCCCCAAATCAAAATCCAAAACTCTACCCCTAATCACATACTCAAACACATGAATTCGAGTCCCTGTGCTTCCTCCATCAATCACAATCCCAAACTTTCGCTTCCCGTAATTCCGATAACAGTTCAAGTAGACGAACAAATAACACAAAAAAGCTAGGGTAAGTGCAATTGATGCGAAGACTACGAGGACATTGGTGGTGTTGTGTTTAGGGTTCCGAGGGAAATCATTGGATCGATCTGGCGAATTTGGGCGATGGTGAAGCTTGATCGAGTCCAAATCGTCATTGGGCTTACGATCTCGCGTACGAGCATTGGATCGTCGCATCAAAACCTGGCGATCTGAGAGGAGGTGATGGGAGAGTGCTGTAGCAAACCATGTGACGAACGATGATTGATCAGCTAAGAATTCAAGAATTAACAATTTGTGAGATTATCGTTATTAGGGTTTCTGATAGGAGAACAAGAGAGACTATCGTCCACCTCTCTCTCTCTCTCTCTCTCTCTCTCAGACGATGAGTCGCGAAGCTTTGTGCTTTCCAAGCGTGTTAGTCCATGGCCGGTCCGGTCTAGTCAGGTTTGTCGTTGACTGGTATGCGACCAGTCTGGTTCAGTTTATCTTGGGCTCCGGAACATAATGGGCCATTGACAACAGACCTAATAACTCGAACTTAAGATCAATCAATTTTTTGATTTATTGACCCAATAACTTTAGTAATATTTTATCAGACTCTTCCAGATTAAGTAACCCATTTATTGACCCAATAGAGCGGGTGGAATATAAGTCGAGACTAGGGGTACAATTTGGGCGGACCAATCTGAATCCAATTTGATTTTTCACGAGTTTGAATAATTATTTTTATAATTAGGGTTGGCCTTGTATTTTTTTTTTTTTTTTTTAATCTGAGTTGAAAAATATCAAGACAAACTTAATTAGAGCTACTGAACCCAAATTCCATTACTCTCAAAATAAGTATTTTTTTTTTTGGTAATCTAACTTCTTAAGAAATTTGAATGGATTATCAAATTTAGTCCGAGTGGATCAACAGTGATGTGAATGGTTACTTATTATAAGTTCAATGCAAGAAAGTTAAATTGTTAATGTTATAAAAATAACCAGCCTCTTCCTTTCTAAAGAGAAATCACGGGTTCAAGTCTCAGAAGAGACAAATGTGTGTAAGTAACGACCAGGAAAAAAAAAAATTACAAAAATACTATATTGATACTTATTTTGGATGGATAAAAATGTAAAGGTGAACACTTATTTTGGAATGCTGAAATGCAGGAAATGTTTCATTTTTATATATTTTATTTTAAATATATTATATTTAATATTTAAACTATGAATCACTGTTGTTTCAAACTTTTTTGTTTAAATCTTAATTTATTACACATTAAAACTTTGGGTAATTAATTTTAAAAAATTTTGATTATTATTTTTTTAGAAATTTGCATTAAATTTTTTTTTTTTTTTTAAAAAAAAAATTGCGTCTAGGAGTATTCTCATACGAAACTAAGTCAAGATCACGAGATTGACTATATAGGTAACTCGAATTAACCGACTTTTTAACTCAAAATTCTAACCCGAAAATAAAGTTTCAAGGATGGTTTGGGTACATGTAAAGTAATTAGGGTTGGACATTTTATATATCAAATTGAGTTTGAGTTGTACCTCCAATCCTCTTAAGTTGCAGCATCAAAACAACCAATAAAATGGTTTAAAATATTTTTAAAAATAAATACCATGTATCAAAAAGGACATAATGAATTCAGACTATATAACTTTTTATAGTGAAAAATTATTGAATATCTCGATAGTACCAACAATGTAATACTCTGTACTTTCAAATGTAGAATAATTTCTTATGGTACAGCCATACAAGATAATGAATATACACCTGAATACGGCAGAATGATCATGGCTTGAAATGCCAGCGAGAGACCTTAAAATGGATGATCACACTCATCAAACAGAAATTTATATTTTTTATTTTTGTGGGTCTGCTTTAGAATAATTGCTAATGCAAATACTTTATATGATATTTTTTTCTACCAAAGTGGATTCCTTTCAAAGTTGGTGCTGGTGATTCTGCTCTGTGCACTCGTCACTTTTGAATGTGCATTATTTTAATGGTTTTTCAAGTGCTCTTGCTTCATCATCTTAGAACAGTCCGCTCCACTTTATCGTGGACATTTAGGTGCATTACAGCATTGGATGATAAAAGGGCATCTAATTAATGTGCATTATGAAAGGCCCAAAACCAAGGTCTCTAGGATACATGTCCTATGATTTCTATGCATGAATGGTAACTATATAATCTATATATATACTTCCCGTTTCACAAAAATGTCTCAAAATAATTAAAATGTACTATTTTTTTAATATCCCTAATTTAGCCTCCTTGTCTCGAAGTTATAAAAGTAATTAAAGTTTATGTGGACCATTAAGAAAGGTATATTTAAAAATTTATTCTTTACATGTGTAATAAAAAAATAATAATAATAATAAAAAATAAATAAACTACACTATTAAAAAGTCAAGTTTTCAAAATAAGACATTTTTTTTTTATAGGAGTATATATATTTAAGTTAAAGTAAACATATCTTATGGTATTTGAATTTTCAACTTTTCCATTTGAGAACGAAATTATACCATTGAGGTCAGGGACGGATCTTGGAATTCATATGAGGGGGACAAATTTATATAGAAGGGTTTTTTCATAATTTCAGTGGGGGACAATTTCAAAATTTTATAGGTATAAATAAAGAGAAGTATAAATTTAAGGGTGTAAAATGCAATAATAAAAAATTTCAGTGGGGGCGTCCACACTGTGTCCTTCACATATTCGTCCTGATTGATGTAGAAGCCTTTTTTTATTTTTTATTTTTATCATGAATGATAAGTATTCTATCACTGAATCAAAGTGGAATACACTTATATTGCGTTTGGTAGCATTGAATCAATGCTTTGAATTTAAAATTCCTATTATCGTAAATCCAATCTATTAATTTGATACTTTCAAATATAACAGTACTGTTCATTTACAGACTGGTCCATGTGTGAGATAGAGAGAGAGAGAGAGAGTGAGAGGGGTCCCCCATATATAGGATTGTCTTTGCCACATAATGTGGATGACACAAACTTCCTATGATCATGGGACATTGTATGTGGTTGACATTTCAATTCATGTTGTGGCTAACACATCATGAAATTTAGTTGAACGTTGGTGGTTTGATTCTACAATTACAGGTGATGTCATGCGTATAAATATGAAGATACTAGTAGAGAGTAGGATAATCTTAAGTTGCTAGTCCTTATATCTGACCATGCAGTGTATTGTTGCTATGACAAAATGGTAATTTAGGCACAATTCCTCTAAATCCAAAGTTTTAATATATTTAATCCTGCTTCTGATTATGGTGAATAAAAATGGTAACAAAATCAGTTGGATTTGCAGAAAAACAAATAAAAATGGTAACAAAATCAGTTGGATTTGCAGAAAAACAATCTAATGTGCCCATGGAAGTTTCTTTTCTTATTTTTCATCAAATGATCATACCTTAAATCTTTTTATTTTTTATTTTATACATTTCCTATTTAACTTACTATTTTATACTTCAATTGTAGACTTTTTGAGTTTTTTTTTGGGTTGTTATTTTATTATTTTTGAGAAGGGCTAACTCCACGAGACTTCTGTAATCACAGGGTCTAGGGAGGGAGCAGGTATTCGGTGTGTCCGGTGCACTGTGCACCAAGCACATCAGAATCGTCCATGCACAACACGCACAAGCTCAAACAGCTTTGATGGCCCAGTATACGGTGTATCAGGCACACCAAATATATTCTCTTGGGGAGGGTGCACAGGTTTATCTCTGCATGCGAAGAGGCTAGTTATTTGATTTGAACTCGTGACCTTCATATCACAATGGAACAAGGTTAACATTGCGTCAAAGCCCACCCTCATAAGGGCCTAAATACCGAAATTCATATTTCCTCCCAGTATTCACATGTTATATATGTTCAAATTAACATTCACATTTTATATATGTTCAAACAAAACTGTTAGTTTTATTTAGGCACTGAATGCAGCAACCATACTAAGGGTGCATCAAACACAATACAATGTGAAATTTGATTGAATGACATCATGAAGTTTGCTACCCAGCAAGATGTGACCCTCTTTTGTTCAAACCTTCCCCTTCTAGTTAATGGAATTTCTTTTATATAAAGATTGGCTTGTGCATCAAAATCTGTCTGGTTGAACTAAAGACTAGCATATTCGATCAGGGTTCACCATATTGACAATAATTCAATATTGTGAACATCAATCATGGTTACTTTTGTGGCTTTCTATAGATTTTTCAAGATCTTTGTCCATGTTTGTTCAACCTTTGCAATATGAAAATGTTCCACTACATTTTTACTTGAAAATTACATATTTTTTTAGGCATGTTTTTTGACGCTCTCAACTTTAACCTTCAGTGTTCAACTTAAAAATGTCAAGCACTTCTAAAAAAGGTTGTGGAAATACACACCAGACAAAATTCAAAAGGGTAAGCTTTTACTCTGGATAGGAACAATTGATGTAATGATATATAAATATACTGTGTTTTTATTGGTGATACCATTGTTAGTGGAATGTTTTTAAATTCCTATAATTTTGACCAAAATTTTTATTAAAAAATTGGGCATTTTAAGTATTTTAATCTTCAATTTGTATAAAAATTCCATTTTTTTTATTTTTATTTATTTATTTATTTTTTTGTAAAGACCCTAAAATACTCCAAAATCCCCCCTTTTTATTTATAAAAATTTCAAAATTTTGAAATGAAGACATTTTAGGTATTTTAATCTTTGAATTGAAGATCTTTATTTACACAATTTTGAAAAATGCAGAGAGTTTTTATTTATTTATTTATTTTCACTTTACCCTATAAATCCTGTAGCGTTTTGTATCACTGTGCATTGTCAATCTCATTAGATGATGCCGGTCCTAGGTTAAAAAACACAAACCCAATAAACCTAAGCTAAGAAGTATGAATATTTCTTAACCCTAAGGGTGGCCTAGTTGGAAAAGATTTGGACCCTGGTGCCCTATGAAGTATCAGGTCTCAGGATCGATTCCTCTTTTAATGCAAACAATTCCTTGGAGGGGATGTACACTCCAATGAGATTGGTGTGATGGTGTCGAACACAAACACAGCCAGACACATGTCAGATACGGTTAGAGTGTTCACATTTTTAAATGATTATTTTCTTGAGACAGGTATGGCGTGGATACGCCAACACTAACATAAGCTTATTCATATCTTAAACGTATGCATATTTCTGGTTGTACTTTTGCCTGAGCTTTGTTTTCACTTCTCATATCAAAATGTAAGCCAAATTTTTTTTTTTTTTATTTTTCTGTTTTTTGGTAAGGTAAGAAGTGTTAAATGTTAGATTATGTAAGTCAAATCAATGAGAGAAAATCAAAAGAAGAAGAGGAAGAAGCATAAAACAAGGAGAAATAAAATAATTAATAGAACAAAAAGTGGAGACATCTTCTAAAATGTGTATGATATATTATTGAGAAATTGAAAAAAGTTAATTTTTTTTACAATAATATATTTTTATTTAGTTATCTATTTTATATATCTTCGTGTCCATAACGTGTCAAATTCATATTCGCA